ACAACAACAAAGCGGAGACGAGTGGCGCGCGTTGCGGAGAGATCGCAGGTCGCGAAAATTCTGGATCGATTTAATTAGAGCAGCGGGAATATCCGCGTTGAAAACACACAGCCGGCGCGGTAGAGGCCGATTATTAGCTGACTCGTACTACTTGCGTGTAATGTATTCATGAAAGTGAAAGGGAAACGGACTGAATGAAGCGGGGGGAGATATCACTTTCGCGGCGCTAAACGGATCGAAGATTTTGAATAATTAAGGATCGTCTGCGGGACTAGGTGTTACGCTAGTGAAGTGCCGTTTGTTTTTAGGCGCCGTTCGTAGAAGGGGGGAAATACTCTCGAGACGAAAGCGACGGAAAGAGGACGCGCGTTACGAAACCTGCAGCTTTCGCCGCCTCGCTGATCATCCAGCGTTCGCGCGGCGCCTCTTAAAACGGAATCACGATTCTTTAAAAACCACCGTTCCTCTGCGTTTCGCTTTCGAACAATTAACCGAATCCTGACAATCGTTTGCCGCTTACCGAGCGGCGGACCGCCGCGCCAGACGGCGTTTTAATCGGTTCTCGGTTCGTGAAACAGTTACGAAGAGCCGAAAAAATACGCGTAATAAGGTATACTCGTTCGTTCAGGTTCAACAGCTGTTATTTTTCGGTTCTATAGTTCGTTAGTTTATGGATCCGTGCGATAAACAAAAGCGTGCACCGCCGACGTAGGCCACATCTTGTAAGTAATACAGAAAAGTATTGCACAGATAGCGAAGTGCAACTCCTGAAGACGATACAATGCATTTATTGTATAAAATAGAACTATAACAAACACCCAGAACCGAAGAATAACGGTTATTGAACCGATATACGGTAATGTGTCCCTTACTGACGCTCAGATTGTCCACGAAAATGGGTAATTTGGGAAGAGGAGCCTTGCGAATTCGAGCCTTGCGACTTGTTTCTATAATTACCGATTNATTAAAACGAAATGGTCGCGAAGGGCGGAGATTGCAAAATGCTGAACATTCCCTCGATTAATTTCCGTCGCGCGCGAATTCCGTCGAACGCGGTGAAAATATCGCCGCGAAGACGATAAATATCCTGGTCGACCGTTTCGGTCGAAACACCAAGGCTTCCAGTGAAATATTCGCGGGAAGAACGAGAAAAAACGTTTCGAGAGCAGAAACATTCTGGAACACGCGAAAATTCCCTTCGATCATGAGAAACCCGTTGCGAGATATTTTCACGATGCCGAACGATCGGTCGATCGAGTCGACTGAATCGATGCCAGCGGAACCGACGAATTTTCACGCTGATTGCGGATCAAAATATTTGCTTGCGTTGGATATAATAACAACAACAACAAAGCGGAGACGAGTGGCGCGCGTTGCGGAGAGATCGCAGGTCGCGAAAATTCTGGATCGATTTAATTAGAGCAGCGGGAATATCCGCGTTGAAAACACACAGCCGGCGCGGTAGAGGCCGATTATTAGCTGACTCGTACTACTTGCGTGTAATGTATTCATGAAAGTGAAAGGGAAACGGACTGAATGAAGCGGGGGGAGATATCACTTTCGCGGCGCTAAACGGATCGAAGATTTTGAATAATTAAGGATCGTCTGCGGGACTAGGTGTTACGCTAGTGAAGTGCCGTTTGTTTTTAGGCGCCGTTCGTAGAAGGGGGGAAATACTCTCGAGACGAAAGCGACGGAAAGAGGACGCGCGTTACGAAACCTGCAGCTTTCGCCGCCTCGCTGATCATCCAGCGTTCGCGCGGCGCCTCTTAAAACGGAATCACGATTCTTTAAAAACCACCGTTCCTCTGCGTTTCGCTTTCGAACAATTAACCGAATCCTGACAATCGTTTGCCGCTTACCGAGCGGCGGACCGCCGCGCCAGACGGCGTTTTAATCGGTTCTCGGTTCGTGAAACAGTTACGAAGAGCCGAAAAAATACGCGTAATAAGGTATACTCGTTCGTTCAGGTTCAACAGCTGTTATTTTTCGGTTCTATAGTTCGTTAGTTTATGGATCCGTGCGATAAACAAAAGCGTGCACCGCCGACGTAGGCCACATCTTGTAAGTAATACAGAAAAGTATTGCACAGATAGCGAAGTGCAACTCCTGAAGACGATACAATGCATTTATTGTATAAAATAGAACTATAACAAACACCCAGAACCGAAGAATAACGGTTATTGAACCGATATACGGTAATGTGTCCCTTACTGACGCTCAGATTGTCCACGAAAATGGGTAATTTGGGAAGAGGAGCCTTGCGAATTCGAGCCTTGCGACTTGTTTCTATAATTACCGATTGTCAACGATTATAAAAACATGGTGCAAAGCCGGAACAATCGTATCTCCTGTTCCCAAATTGTCCGCATTTTTTTGCACAATCTAAGCGTTTGAGACATTACTGTGTAACTTACCGATACAGAGAGCCAGAATTAATTTTCCTTGTAACATTTACAAGATTTTCGTTGCTTCTTCGTAACCGTTTCGGCCCGAACCGACTCTTGCAACAGTTCGCAGAGCAGTGATTTTCGGGACCTTCTCAATACTTGGCTTCGACCTTGAGACTGTATATCGATAGGCAATTCGTTGCTGTTCTTGATCCGCCAACGAACGAAGCAGACGACGATGAGTATGACGACAATGCGCGGTTAGGGACGAAACCGGCTGCGTTGTGGCCACTTTTCAGACAGCTTAGCGCGGCCAGGGACCGGTCGACAGACACTAATTGACCCACAGATTCGTAAACCGATCACAAAACACTGAACAGGAAGATGAAACAGGGACAAGAGGACGATTAGCTAGGGTCCGGGTTAGCCTAAGCATTAGCCGCTGACCGTTCATGGTCGACGGGCTCCGGCCTGGCGACGGTCTAGTCTCTTTCTAACAAATACCACAACAACAACAACAACAAAATACGAATGATATACAACAAAATATGGATGCTCTTGCCTTTATCCCCCCTCCCAGAGATAGACACACAAACAGGACGCCGTCGATGTGGACAAGTCCGGCCCGGCTGGGAATGATATGGAACTGTGAGCCAAGATGCATGTTAGTTGTCTACATATACCTGCTCTATGTACATATTTATGCATATTTATATATATTTATATATATATTTTTTTCGTCTGTATATATATATTTATATATTTATACATACATATTTATATCAACGTGTACCGTATATCTATCTATATATATATATTTTTATATATATATTTATAATATATATATAATATTTATTATTTATTATATATATCAACATATGTATCGTATATCTATATAATATATTTATATAGATATGTATCGTGTATATATATTTATATATTTATACAGATATGTATCGTGTATATATTTATGTATTTATATAGATATGTACCGTGTATATATTTATGTATTTATATATATTTTTCCATTTATTTATATTTATATTTATATCAACATGTATCGTATATATATATGTACATATATACTGTCTGTATCTATATACATACATATAAATATATTTGCCATTAGCCTTGGAACTAGAGTTCCGTTAGTACGGACCATTTGGTAACGTAGCTAGAGCTTCGGTGTTGCTTTCTGCATGAGTATTCTCTTTACATTGCTAATTCCGCGGTGTGTTACACACACACACACAAACAAACACACACACACACGCACAGAGGAGTCGAACCCGACCCGCCGCCAGACACACCTTCCTTCGTCCTTGCGAGCGCCAAGATGGCCGCGCGTCCTTGGATTCTTTAACGCTCCCGCGGCCGCGAGAGAAAATTAGAATTAACCGCGACCTTCCGCGGCCGCGAAGTGCCTCTTCTACGGCCACGAAAAGAGGCTAATCTCCTTTCCCGCCAATCTCCGCGGACCTCTGCCACAAAGAGCGCGAGAACGGCTGCCCTCTAGACGGCCTCGCGTCGGCCATCTTGTCGGCGCCGGACGCGTTTCGCCCAGCGAACGCGACGAATTAACGTCGGACAACAGTTTTCGTCGAGAAATGGCTGAATTTTCTTTCGAAAAATTAGCCGGAACGGTGGAGTGTCGTTCATTCGACCGTGTGAAAGCCATTTTTGTTTGATTTTCATCGGAAATATTGCTTAATGTTGCTGCCGCCGATGTAGACTTCGTAGCAAACGCAAGATTTTCTTTCGTTCAACTTCGTCGCCGTACCGTTTCCCGTATCTTTGCGATCGCGATCGAGCATTTTGGGAGCGTTAAAGGAACAAGGTGTCCGATTACAGTCGAAAAGCCACGAGCAAGTCCGAATAGGTAGTAGTAGACACGCGATCCGCCGTTGCGAGATCGTCGAGAGGTCACAGAAGTATCAGTTTCCTTGTTTTTAGAACCGTTTCTTTCACCCGTTTCCGTTGGTGTTTTCTTGTTTGTTTTTTTCTTGTCACATTTAGCGGCCCTCTCCGATCCATTCTGCACGGAAATCTCGATCTCGTTCGCCCCGGATCGTCTGTGCGACGATCCGCGTCCTTACGACGCGGTGCTTCCTGCGATTAGAGAATTATTTCGAGAGAACGAACCATGCCCTTCTAGCTCCCGTTAGTCAACCGGTTGTTTTCGATCACCCCGAGCACCAACGATCCTCCGTCTATCATCGACTCCTCGTTTACGTAGGCTGATTTTACGACTAGATTCGACCCTAGAGATTCTCTGTTGCCGGCGTTAGAAATGAAATCGCGCTTAGCACCGACCGGTGTCTTCGCTTCCGGATTAAATCGTTCTTTGCTCGCTCGCTGCAACGCGATCAAAAGGCACGCGAACTTGCCACGGCGCAGTCGAGATTTGCATTTCTAACGGCGGACCTTGCCACCTCTCCCACGATTATCTTTTCTTTACCGTATTTACAAAACGAACCCCTCCGCATTCGTTTCGTCGTCTAGCGATCCCGTACGATCATTCCCGAGCCTAACCGATCTGCTACTTATACTTTAGCCGACGGCCCTGCGAGATCACTCGATTAAATCGCTGCCTTCTCTGTTCGCCTGCAGGAGTATTCTGTACAGTTAACATTCCGGGAACAATGGATGGACGACCGATTACAGTTTGACGATGCCGAAGGTAATTGGACCCGCTCGCAGCCGGATCCAGAGAACGGAATTCGATCCACGAATTCTTCGGATCACCCGCGCCGGGTCGAACGGAAACTCCCTTGCGCGCCTTTGGAAAGTCGAGGATCGACCGACCGAAATAATTGTCGAGCTGTTCCACTTAGCTGTTGCACTTAGCCTCCTCGCTTCTGCCGTTTGATCTTATTAACGCCTTCGCTGGTCGCGGCGAACAGCTCCGAAGTCGTCTTAGAATTCAAATTCTTGCATTCGGCCGAATTGAAATCGAACGAAGTTCCCGATGACGTTGATCGTGAGTTTCGCCGTTCCCGTGTTTCGCGATGCCAGAATGAAATTAGGCAGACGCGGATAAATTAGCGTAGAAACGAATGTTCGTATCGGAACGAGCAATTCGGTCGAGACGCGGCGGTCGAACTGTTGAAGATAAAAGCGGCTCGTACGCGCGAGAAGCGCGAGGTCGAAGATAAAACAGCAATCTAAATAAAAAAGTCTGTCCACGAGGATGAAATATTATCGTCGGGGATTGCAAGAAGTTTCTGCTCGACCCAGAAACGCGGCGTCGCGCGCGCGGTTTTTCCGATCTGTCTGATTTATGCATCGGTTGCAGGTCGATTAAAATATTTAACGCTAACGGATGCTAGTCGCGTTTGGATGCCGGATCTGTTCTTTTCGAACGAGAAGGAGGGACATTTTCACAATATAATTATGCCGAATGTGTACATTCGTATCTTCCCCCACGGTTCCGTTCTTTACAGTATACGGTAAACAAAACGAATGAATAAAACGTGAACATGTCGCGCAAGCGTAAACACGTGTCTGTACATTGTTCTCCTATTTTCCAGGATATCCCTAACGTTATCGTGTCCGATGAATTTAAAATTGTACCCCCTGGATCGACAAGTTTGTTCATTGCGTATGGCAAGTTGTGAGTAACCTAATCGTTCCGCCGAACTAATATTGATACCGTTGCGCTCTGTGCCTTAATTTGTGTGATTCTGCTTTCTTCTTTCTCTATTCCAGACGGTTGGACTACCGACGATTTGGTTTTCATTTGGAAAGAAGGAGATCCTGTCCAAGTTGTGAAAAATTTACACCTGCCTCGATTCACATTGGAGAAATTTCTTACTGATTATTGTAATAGCAAAACGAACACAGGTCAGTCCCGATACATTGATCGCATGATCGTTGCCCGTGGATCTTGTCGAACGGTTAATGATAACGATTGTTCTTCCGCCAACAGGAGAATACAGCTGTCTGAAAGTAGACCTATTCTTCAAGAGAGAATTCAGCTACTACCTTATCCAGATCTACATCCCGTGCTGCATGCTTGTCATTGTATCCTGGGTATCATTCTGGCTCGATCAGAGTGCTGTGCCAGCTCGAGTCTCGCTAGGTAATGTCTCGACGAATTGATTAGCATTCGCTACGGTGGAAAGTTCGCTTAGTCTCTGGTCGAAAGAATCTTCAAAAATTCGACGCGAAATATTGTATTATATACAATATTTATATATTGTATTATATACAATATTTATATATTGTATATATACAACATTTATATATTGTATATATACAACATTTATATATTGTATATATACAATATTATAATATTATAATATTTATAAGTTAAAAGTTAACATTATAATATTTATAATATATAATTTTGCGAAAATATCTGTCGGTCAGTTCTCAAACAATTGTTTTAGCACGTTGAGACGGATGCAACGTTCTTAGTTTATCTTCGAGCTTTCCGATATTTCGTGGTTCGCGTGTTCACTTCTGTCATAAGTGCATCAAATGCACAGGAAAAATGATGAACTTTCCACTTGGTCATAGTCAGACAATAATGCAGCGAGGTTTATTCGAAAGTGCAGACAATAAGATGTACGAGGAACAGTAATGTCTCTCTAATTGACGCTCAGATTCTCTACAAAAATGGACAATTCAGGGAGAACAGAGACGATTATTCGATCCTTGCGGTTCGTTTTTATAGTCACGAATTGTCAACAGCTATAAAAACGAGCTGCAACGCTCAAATAATGGTATCTCCTTTTCTCAAATTGTCCATTTTTCTGCAGAATCTGAGCGTCAGTTAGGGAAACATTATTGAACTTCGTGAAAAATGCGCGGAACGATCTAAAGAACGCAACATAGTTCACTTTTTATCGCAGTCGAGAATTCAAGAATTTAAGAGCTTCGCTCCAATGATTTTCTTAGAATCGAAGAAAACTTTCTTAACACATATTCGTCCGGTAATTTTCTTGCAGTCACTGTTTCAACGCATTCGTGTTTACGTAAATCAAGTGGAATTCGAATTTTAATGCACGCTTTGTGTTGGTTTTAATGAGAATTAAGAGAACAAGAATCACAATTATTTTCTGTAATATACAAATAACGAATTTTCGTCGTTTGTTTATCGGTGNATCCGGCGCATCGAACACCGATTCCGAGGACACCGATGTTAATAAAATATTTATGTCGAAGGACAAACTAAAAAAAACAACATTCTCGTAAATCGCACTCGTACAGGGGAAAAAGTGCTGTCATTATTTTAACGCATTTATGTTTACGTAAATCATAATTTAGTCTGCCAGGTGGATCAAATTTTGGTTTTAATGAGAATTAAAAGAACAAGAATCACAATTATTTTCTGTAATATACAAATAACGAATTTTCGTCGTTTGTTTATCGGTGATTGTTCGCGAAATGACGAATTTTCGTCGTGCGGACGAGTACGTGTTAAAATCGAAATCAAAAAAGATCCATTGGATCGTACAGAATCGAAATTATTTGATTATCTTGCTAGAAAGTGAACGATCAAAGTAAAATATAGCAAAATGTTGGCAGCAAATTTTTGCGAGGTGCATATTTTGAAACGCCCCAATTGAGCTAGTTAACCACACTTGTCGTGCATTGTTTTGGTCTGACTCGTGATGAATTTGATTAAATTCTTTTGAACAGGAATATAGAATCCTGATCACGTGTCTCACCACTATTTGAGCAAATTCAAGTGAGTGTAGGCACGCACTAAATACTTAATTTTTCTTCTAAGAGATTATTACAATAGAGAGAGAGAGAGAAAGGAGAGAGAGAAAGAGAGATTGAGAGAGAAAGAATTTTAATAATTATATATATACATATAATATAAAAATAAATAAATAGTCGACGACCACCCCGTGCGTGATTTTGAAAAAGAGGATCGTACGGGGTTCGAAAGGTCGCCTCGATCCGGCGTGATGTGAATTAAAAGATGTGTCGTTTGCGGGACAGGTGTGACAACTCTGTTGACGATGGCCACGCAGACGTCAGGAATAAATGCCTCACTGCCACCAGTCTCTTATACAAAGGCTATTGATATATGGACAGGCGTATGCCTGACCTTTGTATTCGGCGCTCTCCTCGAGTTCGCCTTAGTAAATTACGCATCGCGCAGCGACATGCACAGTGAAAACATGGTGAAAAAGTATCCGCCGTCTGAAACCGAACAATCAACATCGATCGATCTGACCTCCGATCAAGTCGAGCCAGATAACACGTCGAATTTCGCCATGGTCAGTATAACCCGCCACGATCCAAGCCGCTTTAATGTTTCATTATCATCTGGCAGCATTCATCTTTGGTCAGTGATAAACAAAACCAGTTTGTCGAATCGTTATACTTGCTTTTTTCCCCCTAAATCCCCACTGTACACGCACACGTTTGTCGGACGGTACGCGTAGAGAAAAAAAAAAGAAAAAGAAAGAAAAAAGATAAAGATACGAGCTAACGAAGACAATGGAAAAGACGATGGAGATTAGAGGCTCGGGTGATTCGCCGCGTCGAATCTCGGCTCGTCGAGCTTCCGAGTGCGTCCTTTTTTTCCTTTTCGTTTCGTTCAGCAATTGTTCGCGGTGCGTAGCGTCTGTTCGTTCGATTGCAAAAAAAAGAAAAATAAATAGAAGAGAATAGAAAAGAAAAGAATATATATATATATAGAGAGAGAGAGGGAGAGGAGAAGAAACGTAGCAAATTGAAATCGCCGTGCGATATTAGCCGCGCGATTATTGTCCTCGATTAGTTGCCTGTGACATTATCATTGCAAAAATCTCTGCGATGTAGCTTGTGATTAACGAATACATTCACTGTATTATTTTACTTTTTATTATTGTAAACCGCTAGACCGGATACGATGGACCACTTCAACCGTCTCTACAGGTAAATAATTTCCACTTTAGAAGTCCAGTATCTTTATTATCTTTTAATTTATCATATTCAGTAATATGACTTTCAGCGTCATCGAACGAATCGAAATGTTTCTTAGAGACCGATTCTCCTCCGTACACACACGTATGATCGCAATATGGTTACAATGGGATGTTCACGTTGTCGTCCGATGTTCTCTAATGCACGGTGTAATGTCACGGTGAACGCGTGTAACCGCGTCGAGCGTCCAGGAATCAAAAAAAAAAAAAGAAATCATCGTAGACGCGCTTGTGATCTTGTTTCAAAATGAACTGAGAGAGAGAGAGAGAAAGAGAGAGAGAGAGAGAGAAAGAGAAAAAAAAGAAATATGATACGATGCATATTTCGGTTCGGAGACGGGAGATTCGCGGTCTCGGCGAGGCAATTGTTGTTCCTTTTGGAAGAAATATGACTGAATAGAACGATTATTTATTATGGTAGCCGCCTTTATCGATTGAATACACAGGGACTCGATAGAGTTTCGAGCGTTCTCATAGACCTAACATTTTCAATTATCGTTGATCAAAGCTGGATGTGCGTGTAGCTATGTTAGGCACTACCAGTGTATCACGTTTGCATGGTTTTTTGACTGTTAACTGTGTGTGTGTGTGTGAGAGAGAGAGAGAGAGAGAGAGAGAGAGAGAGAGAGAAGCCTATAAAACGATATTCCACGTTCAAGGACCGCTCTTACAAGGGAACACGCCGCGCTGATTCGTGCACGATTTTGATAAAGCTTGCAACAAAAATCTCGATAAAATCTCAATAAATATCGAGATACCATTTTCTTTTTATTTTCTCGCGCAGAGACATACGGGAAAGCGGATTAACCTTCGAGTGGGCAAATTTTTAACGAATGTCACTCTGTTAACGCATCTCGCGAACATATTAAAGTCTTGCAAATCGGGTTCTGCGGCTTAATTGCTGATCGAAAAGCACTCAATTTTGCGATTTCAGCTGTTGCTTCTAACTCCAACGGTTTCCAAGATATTCTTCGCTTTCGCCCACTAAATTTTCGCCCCTCGCATTTTCGGTAAAGAAGATACGCACGGAACGTTTCTCCGCGTAAAAACTAGCTTCTCCGAAAGTTTCGTCGAAATCTGCGCGCATCGGCTCGGCATATTCCCTTGTCGGAATACTCTCTTGTTGTCTACACGTTTCCCTTCGTTCAAGAAATCCACCGTCCACACAGAACCGTGACAACGACGCCTATCAATTAAACCGTTGCATGCGAGTTCAACGAACGTTAGACCCATCTCTGTCGTGATTTTGCACCTTAAACCAGCTTCACACGTTCGATGTTCTCTTTCTGTGTCTGTGTTCGATCGATTCCCACGAAAACAAACGGCAATACACCTTTTTCTCGCGGGATCTCTTCTGTCATTCTTCTCCCTCGATTAACCGGGCGGAGGGGGAGGGGGGGGAGGGAATCGTCGACGAACGTTCTCCCGAATGTGTATTCAAAGAAACGATCAGGTTCACCGTCGATCATTATTCACGCCGCGGCGCGGCGTACGAAGAGATATCTCGTTCGACAGTAGTTTTTCGTCTGTTTTGAGGATGCATTTTTTAGAAACAGCGCAGCGATTCACGGACCGGCTCGAAATTCTCGCGATTCCAAGCGTCGACAGCGGAAATCGCGATCCGATTTTTCGCGTAATTCGTCTGTGCTCCCGTGGCGCCGTCGGTCCGTGAGTCGCTGTCCGCGAAAAAAAAAAAATGATGTCGTCGCCGCGAACGCGACAAAGAACGAAGCCGCGATTCGCGATTCGATTCGCCCGTCCCGTTCGATCGCGTTCACGGCGACGAGATCGTTCTGTTTTTACTCTGAACACATTACGGTCCACGATCGAAAACCGCGCAACACAATCGAGAAAAACATGCATGAATATCGTTTTTTTATTACAGTCGTTTTTTTTCTTATTATAGACTAATTAAATCAGAGGTTTCCAGCCTGGTGTTCATGTATTTATTTCTATCGACGTGGTTACGAAGATTCTGAATATTTTTAAAACGGAACGTGTACACTGTCGGCCAGAAATATTTGGCACCGCAGAGTTTTATTATTATCGGAGCTGCTCGGATCCTGTCTCGGCCGAGCAGCGTCACTTGTAATCACCGACCAGCAGGGTACACTGTAATCTTTTTGAAGAACTATGCACGATTCTGTCTTGAACAAACAAAATTTTGCTAGATGAATCGTATACGACGGACCGTAATGTCTGGACTGCGGATTCTGTGCGCTTTTCATTTGCTGAAATTCCCCACGAACACGGGGGAGGGGGGGTGAACGAAAGAAAAATTCGTTGATGTCGAGACAGCTTATCCGCTTGAACATCCGCAGTCTGGTAGACATGCTAGACCAGGCACGGGCCAAGATTGCCCCGATCGGGCCATCGGAAAACACGTTTTTCTTTAGAGCCACGAGGAAACGGGACGCCGGTCCTCCGGGTCCCTCGAATCTGATTTGTTCCGAGTCGTTGCCCTTAGGGCTATCCAAAATGCTGCCGAAGGGCTCTCGTTGCCCATGCCTGGACTCACGGGGGAACCTATTCGAGATACACGAGCCGATTTCGTCGAGGCTAGCCCTCGCGGGACCGAACGCGGGTCACTCGAGGGAAAAAGAAGAAAGTACGCTTTTGGAATCTGTTCCACGCTTGATTTTCGGCACGAGTAGCGAAACGACCCAGCCTCGGCCTCCGCGAGGTCCGTCCACCGAGGGTCAAACGATCTTCAGCCTTGGAGTAACGTCCTTAGATCAACGAGAACCGGTTCGTAGCAACGAGTTTTGTCGCGACGAACGAAGCTCGACGCGGATCGAGCGTTCGCGCGTTCGGTGTCGTCAAGATCGTCGTTCTAGGATCGCGGGGCGAGAGTTTTCCCGGTCGTAGGGCCGCACGTATCTCGAACAAGTTCCCCCGGGAACACCTGAAAACAGTGACCACCACGGCCCGATTCGAAACGGTCGCGATCGATGCCGACTAATGTTGCGCCGTCGTCCGACTGCTTTCAGAAACCTCTGGTTCGACCACCGGAGGACACCATGTCGGTGGATAGGATGCAGCACTGCGAATTACATATGCAACCACGAAAAAAAAACTGCTGCAGGTCGTGGCTATCCAAGTTCCCGACGAAGTCCAAGCGCATCGACGTCATATCGAGAATTTTCTTCCCCATCGTATTCGCTTTCTTCAACCTAACGTACTGGTCAAGCTACCTGTTCCGGAAGGAGGGGGAGGACGAGTAAACGTCGACAAGGAAGCGCTTGGATTAAGGAACGTGGCACGCGGCCATTCCCACCAGTATCACACCGGCACCACCGCCAACACCACCACCAACACCACCACCACAACCACCACGAACACCAACGCCAGATCGCACCATCGTTCGCGGCATCGGCATCTGTATTACCATTACAGGCCCTCCCATCATCACCAGCACCACCACCATCACTGCGTCCTGCCGCAGCAGGACGAGGACGAGGACGAGGACGAGGAGGAGGAGGAGGAGGAGGAGGAGGAGGAGGAGCAGGAGCAGCAACAGCAGCCGCTCTCGACCCACCGTCACCAGCACCCACGGTTCTACACGAGCCAGAACGAGCCGAGGTCGGCCTCGTTCCCGTCGCTGCACAACGCCGAGGGCACCGGACGCTGCTCCCCGAGGAGCGCCCGTTGCTCCCCGAGGAGCGCCCGACACTCCTGCAAAAGCTCCGCAAGATCCTCGCCGTCCACGTCCCCGTCGCCATCCCCGTTCCCATCGCCCACACCATCCCCGACCACGTCTCGCAGGGCGACACCCTCGCCGCCGACAGCCGCCGGCCGCACATCCTTCTCGCGGAACGACAAATGTTGCTGGGGCCTGATCCCTCGCGGCTGGTTCACGTCCCGGGACAAGGGCAGCGCGAGAATCGACTTCATCGCGCGACGCGCGTTTCCTCTCACCTTCATCCTCTTCAACTTCGCCTATTGGTCAAACTATTTGTTCCAGGGCAAGGATAGCGATAACAGGCAGAAGTAAGTCGGGTATTCACGCGCCGGGGGCTCGGAGCGGATCCGGCGCAGCTTCCGCGAAGCTTCCGGCTCAACTGGCATAACCGAAATGACGTTGCGACGTGCCTTGTTGAGTTCGATGGCCGTCTACGGACTCAGTTCGGTTTCTTGTTGATCGATTCGCGGAATAAAACGAGCAAAACGCGCGGAAACGACGGGAACGATTCAACGAAAGATAAATCTACTCCGAGAAACGCGTCTTTCTTCTTCGTATCATCGGACGTAATACCATTCGCTACATTGGTACGAGCTCGGAGCTACGATTGCTCCGGTTCTCGGAGTTCTCGATTTCATGTGTCGATTACGTATCAGCCGGAACCTTCGCGGAACAGGCGTCAACGATAATTCTGAGAGCCGTTTCAACCTCGGCCATGAACACTCGAATCCCTGGGAGATAATCGTTAACTACCTTGGACTGTATACCAGCTGAGAGGGAACCATCGCGCATGGAATCAACTCGCTAAGCCCGAGTCTAAAACTTCCAGGCCACCCCAGTTCTAGCACGAAACGTGTTCCTCTGATCTATCCGAAAGTGCCGAGACCGCCGGTCGGCTGGCGAACGCTTGCGGAACGACGACGAGAGCGTCGATACGTTCGGCATTTAGGGTGAAACCATGGTGGTTCTGTAAGATTGCGAACCGCGGTGGGGCCGAGGGCACAGTTTCGCTTGGCTGAATTTCTCGTCTTTGCACGGCACTGAGCAGATACGACAAATTGGCGCGATGGAGACGGAGATTGATAGGAGACGATAGCGGGCGTTGTTGAAGACAGACTGATTTTCCTGGGTAAATTGTCGGCTTTGCGAGCATAAATGACAAATTATCTAGGGAAATAGTTGGTTAGTAGCAAAAATTGAGGTTCCAGGGGTGTAGCTAGCGAATTGTGAGTAGTCGAGGAGCCTAATAAACACCAATCAAACAGCTTCTGCTAGATAAATTGTCGTTTTTGCTCGCTTCTGAGAAGAAACGACAAATTAGCTAGCGAAATACTCGGCCAATAGCAAAAATTGAGGTCCCAGGGGTGTAGCTAGCGAATTATGAGTATTCGAGGAGCCTAATAAACACGAATCAAACAGCTTTTGCTAGATAAATTGTCGGTTTGCTCGCTTCTCAGCAGAAACGACAAATTAGCTAGCGAATATACTCGATCAGTAACAAAAATTGAGGTTCCAGGGGTGTAGCTAGCGAACTATGAGTAGTCGAGAAGCCTAATAAACACCAATCAAACAGCCTTTCCTTGGTTAAACTGTCGTTTTTGCTCGCTTCTAAGTAGGAACGACAAATTAGCTAGGAAAATATTCGGTTAGTGAGGAAAATAGGAGTCTCAGGGGTGTAGCTAGAGAACTGTGAATAGTCGAGGAGCCTAATGAACAGAAATCAAACAGCTTTTGCTAGATAAATTGTCGTCTTTGCATGCTTCTGAGCAGAAACGACAAATTAGCTAGCGAAATACTCGATCAGTAACAAAAATTGAGGTTCCAGGGGTGTAGCTAGCGAACTATGAGTAGACGAAGAGCCTAATAAACATCAATCAGATAGCTTTTGCTAGATAAATTATCGTTTCTGCTCGCTTTTGAGTAGAAACGACAAATTAGCTAGGGAAATATTCGGTTAGTGACGAAAATAGGAGTCTCAGGGGTGTAGCTAGAGAACTGTGAACGGTCGAGGAGCCTAGTGAACAGAAATCAAACAGCTTTTGCTAGATAAATTGACGTATTTGCACGATTTTGAGCAGAAATGACAAATTAGCTAACAAAATACTCGGTCAGTAACGAAAATAGGAATCTCAGGGGTGTAGCTAGAGAACTGTGAACAATTGAGGAGCTTAATAAACAGAAATCAGACAGTTTTTTCCAGCTAAATTGTCGTATTTGCACGCTTCTGAGCATAAACGACAAATTTACTAATGAGGACCGCGATCAGTAACAAAAATAGTGGTTTCAGGGGTGTAGCTAGAAAACTGTGAACAGTCGAGGAGCTTAATAAATAAAAATCAGACAGCTCTTACCAGCTAAATTGTCGTATTTGCACGCTTCTGAGCATAAACGACAAATTTACTAATGAGGACCGCGATCAGTAACAAAAATAGTGGTTTCAGGGGTGTAGCTAGAAAACTGTGAACAGTCGAGGAGCTTAATAAATAAAAATCAGACAGCTCTTACCAGCTAAATTGTCGTATTTGCACGCTTCTGAGCATAAACGACAAATTTACTAATGAGGACCACGATCGGTAACAAAAATGGAGGTTTCAGGGGTGTAGCTAGAGAACTATGAACAATCGAGGTGCCTAATAAACACCAATCAGACAACCTTTCCAGCTAAATTGTCGTCTTCGCGCGTTTTTGAGCATAAACGACAAATTAGCTAGCGAAAACCTCGATCACTAACCAAACTAAGCGTCTCAGGAGCGTATCTAGCGAACTATGAACAATCGAGAAGCCTAATAAACACAAATCGAACAGCTTTTTCCAGCTAAATTGTCGTCTTCGCACGCCGTCCGAGCATTAACGACAAATCAGCCAGCGATAGAACCTCGGCCCCTAACGAAGGATCGCGAGGAGAAAGGAAACCGAAAAAAAGAATCACCGATGAGGAAACTCACCGATTACAGTTCCAAGCCAGCCAGCTGGTCGTCTCCGCGCAATAGTATCTCGCGAATCTACGTCGTAAGAACGAAGATAGACCGTAAATCCGTGCCTGAAGTTCGATGATTGAAAGACCAAGGAAAGCGCAACGAAGTAACAACGCTCGATACAGTAGCAAGTAGTCGGCGAGGTCTTTAGGGTAATCGCCGGAAGAACAGATAGCACGATCGAAGTGACGAAAAAGGGGGAAGGGTGGGAAAGAAACGAAGTCGGTAGAACGGTGTAACGAAATCCGTATCCCTCGTGTTCTGCGAGCACGTATCATAAGCGTACACACCGTACACACGTCCACACGATTATACACATACGGGAGGAGAGGAGTACATATGGACGACACATAGGACGGGAACACTCGCAGCAAACAGTTTACATACACACGTACACACAGCCACCTGTAACATATATGCATAATCGGGAGACCGCGCGCCACTGGATGAAAACCAATGTAGTGGGCCCTGTATAGCCACGGCCTGTTGACGAAACTACAAGCGAATAAATTTATAAATAATATAACTTAATATAATTGAGAAGTAAATCGTTAATGAAACAATGATTCCTGTGTATAAAAGAGGGAGGGTAGGGAGGGAGGGAGGAGGGGAGGGAGAGAGTCAGAGAAAGGGAAAATCCTCAGTCTTACAGGGACAGCAATTTCGGATCGACGAATTTTGTAACGTTGACTCGAGGCGACAGAGAAAAAGAGAGAGAGAGAGAGAGAGAGAGGAAGAGAGAAAGAGAGAAAATAAAACAGACAACAGAACCAAGAAGGGCGTGAACGAAAACGAAGACGAAAGAGAAACAAAATATAAATCGTTCGCGAGTCGTCGACTCGCGTCGCTCTCCCTTGGACACTTCTCGGGGTCCCGGCTGACCCGGGCCGCCCCACGTATTGCTCATTGACCAGTCGAGACTGAGGATATCTAACATTTGTTCAACGCGAAGCGTACACAATTGGTCGGAGACACGACTACGAGTGGAAAGGGTAAATCGAAACAAAACAAAACAAAAGAAAAGAAAAACGAAAAACGAAAAAAAAAAGAGAAAACAAGAAAAAAATCGCAAAAGCAGAAAACGTAGGACGGACTGAGAATCGCGCGTGAATCGGTCGTCGCTGAAAATCGATCCACCGACTCGTGATCGCGGGTGGAAAACTTTATTTGCACGCGCCCGCGCGCGCGCGGATCAAAAGCGCGTTCGCTTTGGTGTGTTTTGTCGATAAAAAATTGAAAAGCATAAGCAAAACCCGAAAAAAATGCAAAACAACGAGAAAATCCCGGAAAAAAAGAGTGTCGCAATTTAACGGAGAACGGGAAGGTTGGAGGAGGGAGAGATAGAGAGAGAGAGAGAGAGAGAGAGGCAGGAAGAGTGAGAGAGAGAGGGGAGAAAGAGAGAGAGAGAAAGAGAGACAGAAAAAAAGAGAGAGAAAGAGAGAGTGGATGAGAGTGGAAGAAAGAGAAAGGAGAGGGAGCAAAGAGGGATGGAATTTTCCGTTTCGGCATGCGTGCTACGTTTGATTGTTTGTCGCCGTTGTAAACGAAGAGACCCGCCGCGACGAGTCGAGAGTCCATCGAAACGAATCTTCCATCGAGCGGGTGCGCGTGTAATTAACACTGTTACGTTTCCGCGGGCCCCGTCGCCGGGGCCCGAAAATTCAGTTCTCCGTTCTGGCACGCGGACGTTTGTTCGACACCATATATTATAAATATAATACGATACATACGCGTACGCATGCACACGTGTACGCACACATAAACTGTTTTTCCGTTATTCGGCGAACGAGTTATCGTTTATCGTATCGTTGTCCTCGGTTGTTCGCCGCCGATTTCTAGTTCGATAAGAGAGTATAGATGAAAGAATTCCAAAAAAAAAGAATTTACCGCAAACAAAACGAAAAAAAAAAGGAGAAGAAGACGATGAAGGAGTGGCGAGAGGGAGGCGGAGGAGAGAGTAAATCGGAAGAGTATATGTATAGCGAGATGAGGATGAAAACTGCGTGACAGCGCGACAACACGCTGGTCGCGTGCGAGCGCCGTTGGAGAGACGAGACAAGATTTCTCAACCAAAGCATCGGTTTCCGAACGCCGCGTACGCACGCCTTTGATTTTGCTCATTCGTCAGATTCGTTCGTATAGCGCAATGTCGGATCAGTATAACGTCCTGCTCAATAACGACTGACATAAAAAAAACCAATTTAACGCTGATTAATTATATATATGTATTCTTATCGTGAATTAACGAGGAGGTGTAGCCGCGCCGAGATCGATTCGCCGGGCTCGCGAGTTTTTACACCGGGGCGGGGGGGCGGGGGGGATGGAGCTCGAAACGAGGGTGCCCCTCGCCGCGTGACGATGTCGCCTAGACTGCGGATGCACAGTCCGTGCAGTCCCGTGGTGGTTCATTTTCCGGGCGAACCTGTACGAAAGGTGTTGTTCGGTGCGTCGAAAAACAAAGCGGTCGGTCAAACAAAAAGAAAACTAACTTCCGTTCTCGATCGAGTTCCCTGTGCAACGGGTCGCTAGAGAAACGTCTAGGGAGACCGGGAGCAGAAGCGAACTGGTTCACCATGGGCCCACCTTCGCCACGAAATATCTCGCGCCGCTGTCGGATGTATCGTCGATCGCGGCGATTTTACGTCGGGGCGACGGTACCGGTGTATGTCACCGTGAGCTGTAGATTTTTCCACCAAAATTTTTTGTACAGCCGTCGGAAAGATCGAGTCCCGGCATTTCTGCGTCGAGCGGTGCTCGAGGCAGCGGATCGGATATCTGTGCAACGAAATTTTGCTCGGCCACATCGAGGAGGATCGGGGGTCGGATTTGAACGTCGTCGCGAGCGGCGGTATCCGAGTCGAAATCCCGCATCAAAATCGTCAGGTTTCCGCGTCGAAATCTCGCATCAAAATCTTGCTCAAAAAATCTTGCGTAGCTGTCGGACATTATCGATCGCAGAAATCGTCGTAAGAAGGAACGATTCTTCTTGGGTTGTTCAGCAAAAAAGGAGGACTGGAGAAAGGGGTGAAAGTTTACGATAGGTCGATGGTATTCTTCGCTTGTTAACCCTGATCCGTCCCTCGTTTCCTCAACACAATCGATCCCCTTACCGTCGAATCGACGATAATTGAGAAAGACACAGAGAGAGTGAAAGAGAGAGAGAGAGAGAGAGAGAGAGAGAGAGAAGTCCGTCAGGTTGTTCCGCAAGTTCTCTTCGCAACGCGCGCTTCCGATGTCGTCGGCCAATACGAGAGCTTGTAAAAAAACCACGATTATGTCTCCGCCGATAGTCCACGATCGCGCCCACGTCTCGCTCGTTTAACCGCACCGTTCGCTTCATTAGAGGGCTATTACTCTGAACTCACGTTTCCCGCACGATAGTCGAGAAACGAAGCGGACTTCGCGAACAGCCTGCGCGAAGAAAAGCCGCGGATTCGGGACGGGATCGATCGGAACCGATGAAACGACGAACAAGCTACCCCGAATCGGCGAGAACCGTGCGAGATACGGGGACGAACGACTGAGACAAGGGACGGATGGAGCTTCGAGGAAGGAAACTGGCTCGAAAAGTTCCGTTTCCCTTCGCGATTCGTCTTCGAAGCTGACTTCGAAGCTTCGAACGATCCGTACGAAGTTGTCTTCGCGATGTCAGCTGCGCGTCGAAGAAGTTCGTTCGGTCGAAACGATCTCGCGTTCCGTAGAGGAACGAGCTTGCCCGAACATTTTTAACCGAACGTTTTGGGCCCGGTCTCCCCCGACCAGAACAGAATGTCCGCGCTTCGCGGCTCCGTTTCGATCGACGATCTCCCGACGGGCCGGCACCCGGTCAGCCGACGCATCGGGATCCGCAGTCTAATGGGACAGCGCGCGGAACACGGCCCCGATTGTATAAACGTTGATTAGCCGCGCGCGTACACTTATCCGGCGATGTGACACGTTCGACAGGAGCCGGGAGAGATCGTCGCGATTTTAACCTACCCGAAGTATGTACCTACGCCGCCACCACCCCCCACAACACCCCCAGAATTGTAAACGTTGTGTCACTGTTTAGAGAAAGAGAGAGAGAAAGAGAGAGAAAATGAGAGAAAGAGAGAACGGGAGAGAGAGTGCGTGTGAGAGAGAATGAAAGAGAGAGAGAGAGAGACGTCGACGGAACGGTAAGGAGGAAACGTGTCGCCGGACTGGTCGCGTAAACGACACCCGTAAACTTAATTAATTCGCGACGATATATGCGTATCACACGTTCATTCTTCGTAATTCAGAACCAGGCAATCACCTTCATGTTTTTATATGTTGTTGGTACACGGGGAGGTACCGTTCCGGGATCGGGCACCGCTTCACGGCTGTTTCGATTGCGGCACCGCGGGACGCTAGCGAGGCAAACGACGGGCAAACACGACGCTCCGCGACGTTACGGAGCGATTATTGCTTGAAACGTTCGCGTGGGATCGTTGTTCGGTACAATGGTTTCGCCGCGATTCGATCATAGCGACTGCGGATTTCGCGCGTCCGCGACGAGCAGATTGCGACGCGTGTTTTGCTTCGAATTAGATTTCGACGACTATTTAACCCCTTGCCGTACTTCGACGAGTCCGACTCGTCATGAATATTTCTAGTAATAACTTATCGAGTGCGGATGTTATTCTGTCCTCTAACATTGGAATCAAATTCTAATCTCTCGTCGTCAATATTTAAGCGTTCAAGTCAATTTAGGCACACGATAAGCATCAACTTTCTTTCCCTTCTAAGAGATTAGTGCGATCGAGACGTTTCTAATCGCAGTAACTGCGAGGAAAATGGTACGTCAAGGGGTTAAAAAGCGTCCAGGGTTCGAAACCCATTTGACCAGCGTAGACGAGACTCGGGACAGTGGAACGATATTCGCAGGATTTACGAACTACATTTCCGTTTCACTGTAGTCGTCGAGAGGGCGAGAGACGTTTCTATCTGGATCCTGTTCGATGTACGATCTCGCGCACGGATCCGCGGTCCGTGGATCGTTTGCCGCGTCGGAAACGAAGCGGCAAGCTCGCCGAATCCCCTGGAAAAAAGCGAGGCTGCGTTCGTCGACGATTTCATCGAGGTCTCCCGACGAATTCGATCCTTTCTCGCGAGCAAAAACACCGCCGTAAAATATTTTCTACAATCTCGCCAAATCGTTGGCGTCCACCGATCCTCGAGCAACTTCTCTTCGCGCCGTTTCCGTGAAATATTTCCCGCGTTCTTTCTCCTGGAAAACGAAATCTCGACATCTCGAAGATTCGCGTCGGCTCGGACGATCGTTCGATCGCCGATCCGCGAAAATTCCCAGCGAAATTCGCTCGTAAAAGTTCGTCGAGACTCGCGGCTTATCGTTTCACACGATAATCGTTCATTACAAAAAAGAAAACGAGGAATCGTTTTACGAAGCCGACGATCGATCATCGATCGAAGAGGACACCGCGGGGACGGGAATGAAATTCGTGTCGCGTGAACGATTCGCCTGAACGAAGCCAAGCCTGTCGCGGAGCCCAATCCCCACCGTTATCATCTTACGAAATCTCTAGCCGAAGTAACAACAAACAAACAAACAAACAAACCAAAAAAAGAAAAAAACGTAAACGAAAAGCGAAAAGAAAAAAAACCGAAGGATCTAACGAATCGAAGATGATGATATATGTATATGTACATGTATATCCGTGACTATGTTCTTCTTTTCGTTTGGTGTCCAGGACACTGTGGCGGACGTGCGAGAACGGCGATTTTGAAGTATAGAATATAAAAACCGTCGGGGGCTGGGACGCCGAAGATTTTTTAAATTGTAAAAACAAAAGAGCGGAAAAACAAACATTGTGCTTGCCGTGGGCCAATTTGTCGAAGGGCGGACAAACGCGCGGAACTATTATAAAAAAAACTGCGGAGATTAATTCTAATGAGATTCTAGATTTAGTCGTTACGAGATCGTGAGAGAGAAAGAGAGAGAGAGAGAGAGTGAGAGAGAGAGAGAGAGCGAGAGAAAGAGTGAGAAAGAGAGAAAGAGAGAGAGAGAGTGAGAGAGAGAAATTTTAACCTCGGTAAAACCACTTCACACAATGGATAAATCAAAATTTCCATTCGTTTCGCCGGGCGGCCGTCACGGCGGCCATTTATGCGCGTGCAACCCCGTAGACCGATTTTACTTTAATATCTCGGCGAAAACGATCTCATTTGTAACGGAGAAAGGGCAACAGAATCCGTTTCGTTCGGTTCTCGTTCAATTCGAGCCGGTTCTTTCTAGCGCGCTTCGATTCGTTACAGCCTGAGCTGGGTGAAATTCACACGAGACACAATCTCTCAACTATTATTGTTTTGTTAGACAACGACGGGAAACGGTGACGGAGGAATAGTTAATATTTCAAGTATGCAACGTGCACGCACCTTTGTCGGTTCTGATTTCCGCGCCGTACACGGTGCGAGACGGAGTATAAATATAAATAATAATAGGGGTGTGACACCCCGTTTATATTTCAGTTTATACCCTCGAAATTGCAAATAAAAATGTGTTTTCTCTCCGTTCGACGTTGAACCGTTCGAGATGCTCGACGATGACACGTAATTTTCGAACGAATAAAAAGTGACCCCGTTTATTATTCGACGTTCGACACGAGCATACTTTGCCCGGATATGGCGGTCGCGCCGCCGTTCGCTGGTGCTCCTATTGTCCAACGAACTGTATCGAATTCGTGGAACGGGACGAGTCACGCGAGAAAAGGGGGGGAAAACAGAGAGAAATAAAAAGACGAGATCGAGACAGGGGAGAAGGATTCTTGATTCCCGGATGGAAACGTCCGTCGTTCGGGAAACGTCCAGTGCTAATCGGCTGCACGTTCTGTACTCGATTACGTTCAATTTACGTACACATATTGTTTACAACGCTATCGAAAACACAAGGAGTTCTCGCATCCTGACGAAGCCCACGAGGACTCGATCACAGCGTGTTCCGGTTGTCCGCGGTCCCAATATTTATCATCGACGCGTTCACCTCTGCCGGAGAGATCGTTGAAATTTATCTCCTGAAAGAACAAATACTGTTATTGTTGCTCATTTGTTTGTATACGAGTGTTAACGCTGGAACTACCGTGCCTGTTTTTCAATGATTGAAATTATACAGATTGTTTCTCGAGAAACGTTTCGATGAATCGCTGGGCTCGTGCTGGGCCCTTTGGACGGCGCAGATTTTTCAGCATTTATGGCAGCCGCGGCTAGAGATTTATTCAATTATACTATTCGTTTTTTCGTTTGTATATTATTGAAATCGCTTCGTTGAGACCAATGTTAATCCTTTTATCAGTTTCGATATTTACTTATTTATTTATTTATTATATATAATATATATTATTATATTATATTATATATATTATATATTATTATTATATTGTTTATTACATATATATATATATTTATTTATTTATTATATATAATATATATTATTATATATTTAATATATTATATATATATTATAGATTATTATATTATTATATTATTATTAGATTATTATATATACCATATATTATCATATTATATATATTTTTTCAATAGTTAATAATTACACACGGCCGTCAGAAAATTAGAGTTTAAATGGAATGTTCGGTAACTCTGGGTCCAAACGGACCCGGCGCCCGCCGACGGAGGGTTGACACATGAAAAGAAGACGGCGAACGATCTAGAGATAAATCTTGTTATTCCCGCGAAGCTGCGCAGGTTGCTCACTTAAATTTATTGTTAAGTTTAATGTTTGACATAAATAATAAGCATTCGGAATTATATTGAATTACATTCGTTCGGATTATATCGAATGTTTATCCGGGGACGGGTTCTTCTCGCGAATCCTCGTGGCTTGGACAGAATGGCGAAAGAGAATTCGCGCTGGGTTCGTTCGATTGGGAGCGCGGGAGGGGGGAGGGAGGGAGTGTTTCTAGAGAAACGGCTTGTTAATCGAACCGTGGCAGCACGTTGTAGCTTGCGTCGATGGTTTCTAGATTCTGTTCGTGAAGTGTACGCGACACTTGACAATTAGCGGATTGCCACAAACGTATCGTTAGAGACGCTAATCACGCCATTCACTTTGCCACGTAGCCGCGAATTGCTGTTCAATAATTGATTCGATCGCTTTCTTTGAAGCTACTGATTCGCGATCGTTCGAACGGAAAGGAAAAAAAAAACAGCGAGACAAAAGGAGAAACAAAGGGCACGAGAATGAAGGCGGAAGGATTTTTAATTGGGACGCGTTTATAAAAAGAGAGTATATAGTTTTCTTGCGGCCGCTATTTTCCCCCGTTTCGTTTTTTTTTAAGCCGGATTCTCCCGCAAAGAGCACCGATAGGGGACACGAATTATCGCGTGAACACTGAACTATTGCTGTGAAATCTTAGCAGGGTGATTTATGAAATAAATTGGATCGCGATGGAGATTCCTCTTTCTTTTTTTTTCTCATTTCTAAGGTACGAAAGACTTTATCGAACCGCGATATAAGGGAAATATACAGACACACGCACACACGCACACACGCATACGTACACACTGACACGCGCGTAAATATATACATTATATATGTATCATATAATTATAAATTATACTAATTATATATAATGTGATTATACCGACATAATTATGTTATATGTACTTATGTAATAATACAAATATATAATAATAATATATATATGTATGTATGTATGTATGTATAAGTATATGATACAGATATGTACACATACATATAGATACCGAATCTGCTCTATGACTTCAAAATCGCAACGTTAAGAGGAAAGGTAAGAATATTTTCAATTCCCGAGACAACCCGGACCGTGAATCTGATTTTTAGTAATTTTTTAGTGTGTTCACTGTGTAACGTTATTATAAGTACAAAATGTTTCTCTTTGTAGCTTAAGATATGTAATAAGTTGAAACAGGAAAGGAATATATCTATCAGAGAATCACGAGTGTTGAATTTTTTATCAAAAAAAAAAGATTAAAAAAATAAAAGAAAGAAAGAAAGAAAGAAAAAGTGCAACAAAAGGCAAAAGGAACGTAACAGCGTGGAGAGAACGGCAACGGAGCAAAAAAAAAAGAAAAAGAAACACGTTACGCTGATAATTGATTTATGTTGTTGTTAAATCGAGAGAGAAAGCCCCTAACATGGAATACATTGTCAACACGTTTGATGAATAAGAGATTCTTGATTTGTAAATAGAACAGTTTATTTTCCGCATTACCCCCTTATATTATATTTTTTCATGTTCGCACGCCGATAGGAATTTTATGTTTCTCGATTTTCGACGACGGAACGAGCCTAACAGACGACGCTGAAGATCTTCGAGTAACTGTTAATATGTTTGTACGTATTGTCCATTGAAAAAAAAAGAGAAATGAAACGCTGATTTAGTTTGATCTATGACCGAAGAGCAAAGAAAAACAAGAGAAAGGACAAATAAAGCGTAGAATGTATAACAAATATACCAAAGAAAATTGGGACACATAATGGCAGACCACATGCATCAGGTAATTTCACGCTAAGTACATAATAAATAATTGAAATGTCAACTGCATAATAAATTGGTACTCTTACCAGATCACTCATGGCAATCTTTGCAGGGCGTGTACTACGCAAAATTTCTCTGAGCACAGAGAAATTGAATATTTTATGCGAAGGTAATGATTAACGTTAATCGAACGTGGTAAAATTTATGTATAACAAGAAAATGCAACACGTAAGAACCACATAGTTGTTTTTTTATGGCAATATATAAATATAATAGAATATGATAAAATTAAATTAAATAAATATATATATCATATATTAATTAAACACATCAATTTGTTTCAGATTCCCCAAGTTATGTGCAAACAAGGAACAAATGATGATACTGTGAGAAGTCTACAACTGGCAATTGGAGCTCAAATGCGTTAAAATAAATTATATAGCATAAATAAAAATAAGCTAGAAATAATCAATTAAATTAAATGTCATCGATCTCAGTAATGCAGATTCGTTGGGTTGAATTGAAACTGCTTCCTCCCATCGATTGCCGATTTATAAAGCTCATTTCGAAAGCACATTCAAAGCAGAATGAACAATTAAAATGTATTACATTATTGCAAAGTGGAATGTAGTATTTATTACATTGTTGTGTAACAGAATGTAACTAGTCAAATGTAAAAGAAATAATGAAATTGATAATATTTTTAATAAAATGATGTATAGTCTGATCCTTCAGCTACAATTTGACCCGTTAAATCTTCCAAACGTGCCCTTATTTATTAATACAAATATAATTAGAATATATATACAAATCCATTTTATTATCATCAATTCCAAAAATGATTTAATTATTATAGAAAAGCGAACTATAATCAATTTTCGAAGGACCTGACAGAAAATTAATTATTTATACGAACGATGTTTTATTTTTTAATACTTTAAATGTTTTTCTGTCCTTGTCTTATGCATTGGAATGTATAGGGAAAATTAGTTCACAAACTACTGTTTTTTCTATCCTTGTCGTACAATCGGACTTTCCTTGTCTGACGCGTTGTACCGCTTGTCTACCAGTTTCAACGTTTCGCCACAGATGGAGCTACCGTTAAGAGATGCACAGGCACCATCGCGCAAGTAATTCTTGTCACGATCCGTACATTTTCTTAGAAACAAAATGTCAAACATTACGAACTATGAATCATTTGCACTTTCAACACGGATATAAATATGAATTGTACTTTGTGTCAGTTGTAATTATTACTATACAACAGCTGCGTGATCCCATATGCGATTTCATCCAGTTACCTACGTATAATAAGAAAGCGAGCAACGCTTGAAAAATCTGGTGTCACTATTATCTTCGGGTATTTGTTTTATATTTTGGCCGTGACACTGCTTTCGTGTCCACTTTTGCCCAAGGTTATTACACCGAACACTTCTCTTAATCGAATTTTTGCATGATCGACGGTACATCGTAGGAACAGTTTTTAAGAAATTATTTAACCAAACCGTGTATAACACGGTGATGCAGTGAAGTTGAGGGAAATCTGTTTGCTGTCATCTTCTCCTGTGGATAAACAAACCCGAAATGGCTTGGTTGGGAACAATAGCCAGCAACGTGTTCCGTAACATCGCGAATCAAGTTATCCCGTCGAATTTAGTGCAAGAGGTAAACTCGGAACGGTACAGCAATCGACAGATTCTCTGTCGCGAAGATGCGATTGTGCTGTACGGTGTGGAAACAGAGAATGAAAAGTATGATATTGTGCTTCACAAGCCTTGCACGGAAACATTGCACCAAGCATACAGGTATCTTGTTCATCGTTGACCTGAGATAAATTGTGCACTGTTTTATGCATTAACTAAAATATTTCTTCCAGTCTGTATCGATCAAAAAGCAGAGACGATGCAGAAAACCATTTCATTATATACAAAGACAAGATTACGGTGCTAACTCAGATTTGTAAAGAGGTAACTAACTTTAATTCAAACTTCAATTAGAAACATACATTCCGCTGTATACTAATTGTTACCATTTCGTGTTCAGATGTGCACCGTTCTCAAAATACAGCAACTGTGCGACGTTCTAGTAGAACATCCTACGTGGACACTGGCGCATTTGGCAGCGCATTTTACTCTGCACAACGCGTTTAATCACGCCGTGGTCAATAGCCAATTAAACAGTGGGGACATACAGAGCGGAATGTCTCCACTGCAAGTAGCAGTGGGGACCAACAATCTGCGAACGGTTCAGATGCTGATAGAAGCGAAGAGTTCCTTGGAGCATCTGGACCACAGGGCCAATACGGTCTACCATTACGCAGCCACCTCTACCAAAGAAATAATTCTAGCTCTCGGTGGACACCTTCCTTCCAGTCTAAACAGCAGGAACAGCGACGGGCACACGCCGATCCACGTTGCCTGTTTGAACAATAAGCCGGAATGCGTGAAAGCGCTGCTCTTGATCGGCGCGGACGTGAATATACCAGCGACCGAAGGTCAGCCTTCCAGTCCAGGGTACGTCGGCGACCTGTTGCACAGCAAGCGCAACGTTCTCCACACAGAGGACATGCAGTTCGGTGGCACACCGCTGCACTGGTCCCAGAGCAGAGAAGTGATCAACGCCCTGATCGAAACGCACTGCGACATCGACGCTCTGAACTTCAACGGTCGGACCGCGCTGCACATAATGGCGATGAGGAAGCGACTGCCATGCGTGGTGGCCCTACTGAGCCACCTGGCTTCCGTAAACATCTCGGACCATAACGGCGACACGCCGTTGCATCTAGCAGTCCGCGAAGGGACCGAGGCAATCGTCCAGTCGCTGATCGGCTTCGGAGCGGACATCAACGCAAAGAACTGGGAATCTGAAACGCCAAGGCATCTGGTGAAAGTCGACACCACCGAAGGTCAGAAGATCCTGTACATCCTGGACGCTGTTGGGGCCAGTCGGTGCGCACCGGAGATGAACGGCTGCACAATGGGTTGCAAGTATAACGAGGCTTTCAATGGCATCGCGCCCCCGGAACCGCCCGCTGTCGTGCCGCGCACGGTCCTGGACCAGATGCTGCACATCAACGGCATGGACAACATGTCCTCGAAGAAAGATCCTCGGCTCGAAGGCGGCCGGCTACTCTGTCTAGACGGCGGCGGAATTCGCGGGCTGGTCCTCGTACAGACTCTTCTGGAGATCCAGGAGATCATTCAGAAGCCCATCGTGAAGAGCTTCGACTGGATCGCCGGCACCTCGACAGGCGGTATTTTGGCCCTAGGATTAGCGAGCGGCAAGTCGTTGCGCGAGTGCCAGGCACTGTACTTCCGCATCAAGGAGCAAGCCTTCGTCGGCACGCGGCCCTACGACAGCGAAGCTTTGGAGAAGGTATTGAAGGACTGCCTGGGATCGACCACCGTCATGACGGACATCAAGAAGCCGAAGGTGATGGTCACCGGAGTACTGGCGAAGACGAGACCCGTGGAGCTTCATTTGTTCCGCAACTACGACTCGCCGGCCTCGCTCCTCCAGGTTAAGGAAAACACCACGCCCATCGATCCGTGCGGGCCTCACGAGCAGCTGATATGGCAAGTCGCTAGAGCAACCGGCGCCGCGCCGTCCTACTTCCGGGCGTTCGGCAAGTTCCTGGACGGTGGTTTGATCGCGAACAATCCGACCTTGGACGCGATTACCGAGATCAACGAGTACAACCTTGCTCTTAGAGCGATGAACCGAGTCAGCACTCCTCTGTCGCTGGTTGTGTCCCTCGGGACAGGCCTGGTCCCGCCTAGTCCGCTGGAAGAAATCGACATCTTTCGACCCGAGACCCTATGGGACACCGCCAAATTGGCCATGAGACTATCCACCGTGGCGGAGCTGCTGGTAGATCAGGCAACAGCCTGCGACGGCAGGATCGTCGACCGCGCCAGGAATTGGTGTTCCATGATCGGGGTGCCTTACTACAGATTCAATCCTCAACTAGCCCGGGACATCAACATGGACGAGAAGAGCGACGAGGTCCTGGCCGAGATGATCTGGACCACGAAAGCTTTCATGTACGCGAACAGGGATCAAATTAAGGAATTAGCTGCTGTGCTGGACTATGACATTTAAACGCATACATAGAGATGTTTCTGCACCCTTTGAATCGAGGAGGCGGGGGCGCAAATCGTCGCGTTCCGTTTAGATCTGTGTTTCACCCCTTAGACACACGATTGCACCCCGCGCCCGATTCAAATCGTGCACCCGAATCGCTGATCGTTAGTGTCCTAACGCGTTTCCCGTCTTGAGTCGTTCCGATCATTTAGCTTCGATGATCGCGCACAATTTTTCGTACATTTTTCTATTTATTGTTTCGGCGCTCATTCAGTTATGGTTCGGAGGGGGGCGGGGGGGATGGTACATGCACGTGATAGAATACATATATTATACACAGTGTACAGAGATTTCCTGTTGTTCTCATTTGATTCAAGACTTTAGAATGATTTATTTATTCGTTTTTCAAAGAGTTCAACGTCGAATAATAAATAGCAAAGAACAGAAAGAAAACACGAAGCAATCTAACGAATCTATACCGAGACCCCATACTCGTTCTACGATTAACCGGAGATCCTCGTCGGCCCTTCGATCCGGCTTCGGCGGGCGGGCCGTTCGAACGAAACGTTTCCCGAACGATGCGATTGGCGATCGACTCGACAATTTTTTAGCAAACAACGTTCTATCGATCCTTCGCTATCGGCAAGCATTTCCATAGGCAAAGTCAGAATAATTTGTGCACGCTGTAAACGCATAAAGGTCTGCCGTTTGACCCTTTGCGCTCGAGCGGTGACTCTGAGACGTCGCCGAGAATTGTTATTTAATTTTAATTTTTAATTGCTTTTTGTATTGTCAAATCTGTTTATATGTAGATGTGTTAAATTGTGTTTAAATCTCTGTTGAATTATATTTAAATCTGTTGAATTATATTTCAATCTGTTGAATTATATTTCAATCTGTTAAATTATATTTCAATCTGTTAAATTATATTTCAATCTGTTAAATTATATTTCAATCTGTTAAATTATATTTCAATCTGTTAAATTATATTTAAACGCGTCAAATTATACTCAAACGAGTTAAATCATATTATCATATTCATAAATTATATTCGACGCGCACAAATTCCGCCGAATCGCTTGGAATCGAAACGTAGTAAGTCGGCAAAACTATTCTAGATTTAAAGCGGGGGGCTTCGAGCGCAAAGGGTTGATCTTTGCCCATGGGCACAGTATTTGGCCTCGGAGACCGGCCGGCGTCGACAGAAGTATTACAAAGGGCGAACTTTCGGCCGCGGCTTCGATCGGACACGGATCGTCGAAACGGGCCCGTTCGCGAAACAACTTCGTTGATCTACCGGGGGCCCATGTAATAGGGGGGCTGGGTCATGGACGCGGAAATGTACGGGTAGAAGGAGTGGGTGGAGACCGGCTGGGCTTGGTAATCGTTCTCCTCGTGCATCGCGTACCCTTCTGGCGCGGAATAATACTGACTGTGGACGCACGCGTACGACTTGCTGGGACTGGTGACGTCCCCGGGGTACTTCAGGGTCTCGGGGTACTTGGGTAGATCGTAGGGCTTCGCCTGCAGCTCCGAGTACTTCGGCACCGGCTCGTGGTACTTCGCCGTGGCCACCTCGTGGTACTTCACCGTCTCGTAGCACTTCGCGTTCGGCTCGTACGGCTTGCCCTCGTGATCCACGGGGTATTTGGTCGCGTCGCCGGGCCAGGACGACCTTGACAGGTCGTAGCTGGCCTTGGTCTCGTGGTAGGTCGGTCGGTCGTACGTCTTCAGGCTGGTGTCCGGGTACAGGCGGGGGTACGTGCAATCGGAGGAGCTGGTGGAGTCGAGCGAGGTGCCCGGGGAGGACAACGGTCCCCGATGGTGCATCACGATGCCCATCTGCTCCTCCGGCTTCGGTTTCCTCCGACGGGGCTGATACTGGAAAGTTCGCCGCTTTAGAACGAGCACGAACATCGCGGCGCGTTTGCGGAGCGTCCGTCAGATACACGGTTAATTCTCCCTAATTGATGATCAGCTTGTATAATACACGAAAATTGGGAAGAGGAGATACGATTATTCGAGCCTCGCAGCTCGTTTTTATAATCGTTGACAATCGGCGACTATAGAAATCAGAATAATCTAGAATAATCAGAATAATTCTTCCCAAATTGTCAATTTTTTGTTTCCAAGCCGAGCGTCGATTAGGGAGGATTTATTGTAACAGGTGAATAATTGACGTTAGGAGCAAAAAGGAGAGAATGTATTTTTCATTCTTTCACGTGGAATGCGTTGAGATAAATTGTACTAAATTTTGCAAGGTCGTGTCAGGGTTATTTTCATTCTATAAAATGGAATTGCTGTAGTTTTGTGTCGCTACAATGAAAGAGTATAAAAAAGGGAATTCGAATACTACCTACAAGTGACTGCGAAGTGAACTTCCAAGTGACTTTCCAAGTCCTTGGAAAATTTAGTGAAAAATTGTTTCCTTGCGTTAATGCATTCTACGTAAAAAAAGTATAAAAAATATGTTCGACGCTATTCTTCGCGATTTCTCGCTATGATTCGCCGATGGGCACCCTAATCACTAGATCGCGGATTTTATGGAAAAATTTATGGAAAACAATGCGTAGCCGACGTACGAAGTTGTCGAAGACACCAAGACCAATTTTCACAACGTTATCACGCTATTTTTCACACAATAACAACGTTACCGAAAGAGAAACAATTTATCCCCGTTTTTCGCGATCGCCTCGGGAATGTTTTACAATCATTTCTGCCTAATTCGCGCTCAGATTGCGCCCAAAAATGGACGATTTTTGAAGAAGAGACAGCCTCGTGGCTCGTTTTTCTCGTTACCGATTGTCAACAGCTAGAAAAACAGGTCGCAAGGCTCGAACAATCGGATTTCCGTTTTCCAAATTGTCCATTTTTTCCGCGCTGAATCTGAGCGCGAATTAGGGAGAAATTACAACGATCCGATAATCACCTTGTAATGCGGGTGCTGTTTCTTGTGCGCGTTCCTCAGCCTCTCTGCCTCCTCGACGAACGGCTGCTTCTCGCCGTCGCTCAGAATCCTGTCGGAGCAGAGCGTGTCAATCCGAACGATCTCTCGGCAATAGGAACTGTACCATGGACCAATAACGACAATAAAGTGCACTCTAACCTCCATAGTTTTCCCAGGGTCTTCGACAGCTCGGCGTTGTGCAGTTGCGGATACTGGTCGGCCAGTCTTCGTCTGGCTGCCTGCGCCCAAACCATGAACGCGTTCATCGGACGTTTCACGTGCGCGCTTCTACGGCCCCCGGCGCGGGACGTTACCGGAAGCAGCGTCCAGTCGTAGCCTGTAAAACGAACGTCGTCGTTGCATAGAGTTCCATCGCCAAGATGCGTGAACGTAACGCTTGTAAATAAAGGAGAACTATCTCAGCCGCGTCGCCGTGTGCGATTGATATCGCTTTAAAAACCCGATCCCCCCTAGCCGCCGCGTTCGCCGGAAGTCGCGCGGCGACCTATCTCCGCGAAGGGCCGCCAGATAAAACGGCACCTGTATCCTTCGGTGACCCCGCCGAGACCGCGGAACGCGTTGCTTCTTCCGCGATCTACGGGAGTCGCAAATGGTGGATAGTTCCTCGAGCACGGTGGTCTTTATCGACGGATCGTGGGCGCGCGTCGAGAGTACTAATTACCATCGCCGACTTCCTCTCGGTCCCATTTAACGGGACCGCCGCTTCGAGGGAGATTATTCGGGCCGCGAAACTTTTCCGAGCGGAAAAGTCTCGATTGTTCGTTCGTTTGTTTATTTAATTATTTATATATAAGTTATTAGTGGAAATAAATGAATGAATTTATATATAAATTATCTATATATATATATAATGTGTAAATTATAGGCCTATAATATTATATATAAATTATAGGCTTATAATATTGTATGTAAATTATAGGCTTATAATATTGTATGTAAATTATAGACTTATAATATTGTGTGTAAATTATAGGTTTATAATATTGTATGTAAATTATAGGCTTATAATATTGTATGTAAATTATATGCCTATGATATTCTATATAAATTATAGGCCTATAATATTGTATGTAAATTATAGGCCTATAATATTGTATACAAATTATAGATCTATAATATCGTATATAAATTATAGGCCCTAATATTGTATAGAAGTTATTGGCCTATCGTATTGCATATAAATTATTGGCCTATCATCTTGTACATAAATTATTGGCCTATAGTATTGTATATAAAATTATAGGCATATAATATATAAATTTATAGGCTCATAATATTATATATTATATACTATATTATATACTACCTACATAAAATAGGCCAATATATAATATATAAATTATATAGGCTCATATTTATAAAAGCTATAATATTATATGTATATTATATATAGACCTATATTATACGTAGGTAGGTAATTTATATATAAATTATATATCTATAAATTCATTTATTTATTCATTTATACGGGTAAAAACCCATTTGTACGATAAAGTAAACAAAAACCTAATTGTTCCGTCCTTCAACGGAATTTTCGGGCTGCGTCCGCCTAACCTTCTCCGGGACGAATCACCTTTTCCTTCTACCCCTAAAAAACATCTATCGACGGGGAATCTTCGGCTCAACGAGGCAAATTAACAGCCCTTCAACGAACGACGTGCAATCGACGAAAGGTCACGTTCGGTTAGGTTTTCAATGTCGTAGAGCCATAGTCTTCTTCCTTGCAATTTCTAAATTTATGATTTTCAAGCCATCTTCTTTACGGCAATAAAGCCATTTCTGCATTATTGAATAATACACTCCTTCGTCGGAAGCATTTTTTATGACAGGGTCGCGAGCACGCATCGCTTCGGTCGCCCACCCAAGGGTTTCTTGATACACTGCGTGCTACGTCACCTTTACATCCCCTTCCATCGCGTCACTAGCCACTCAATTTCTAGGCTTCTGTCCACGAAATAGTATAAATACTCGAAATCGATTCTTCTTAAGGCCAGTAGTCATTCGCCAGTTCATCGTCATTTAGTCCCCACTCATCGATCAGTTGTCAGTTGTTCAATTCGCACTTATTCAGCCACAATCTTATTCATTCTTGTTGAGTGGCACATTCTATATCAACCAAACAGTTGTCCCTTTTTAATTAAACGGATATCGATCCACTCCGTCGCGCAGCGAGATCGGCTTTACGACCCGAGAGATAGTTTATATCGCGGAGTAACGATATCGGGTGCGAACACGGCGCATCCAAATCGCTAATATTAATACAGAATTCATCGAATCAATGTTTTAGAGGTGAACAGTTTATGTAAACTCGTTTTAAATATTGTAATATTAACCGCAGCCAATGTGTTTATATTATTGCTATCGTTATCAACAAATTATAAGTGACCGATAAAAAGGGTTCGGTCGCATTGAATCTCGACGAATGTAAGCAGGTTCTAAAGGGTTCTGACCTAGCAAATCGAAAAGGAGCATTGAATTTGACAAGCCAATCTCGAATTACTCAAGCCGCGTACAACTTCGCGCATAAAGCACAGCTCTGCGACGATTCCTCCGGACCCCGAACAACTCAAATTAACATTAATGACATTAAAAAAGGACAATAGTCGCGATCCGACCGTGAAAACGATCGACCCATTTCAAAGGCCTCGAAACAAAGTATCTTAACCTTTTAGGCACGACGCGCCACTATAGTGGCTTTCGCGGATGTCATCTCTCTGAACGACGCGCTACCATAGTGGCTTTCGCGGGTGTTATCTCTCTGAACGACGCGCCACCATAGTGGCTTTCGCGGGTGTTATCTCTCTGAACGACGCGCCACTATAGTGGCTTTCGCGGATGTCGTCTCTCTGAACGACGCGCCACTGTAGTGGCTTTCGCGGATGTCATCTCTCTGAACGACGCGCTACCATAGTGGCTTTCGCGGATGTCGTCTCTCTGAACGACGCATCACTATAGAGGCTTACTTCAGTAGCTCACTCGGTCATCTTTTGAACCAAATAATCGACTTCATATGCATTGTTTCCCACTTCTTTTGTCTTCACATCGGTTTACAATATACAGACTTATCTTAACAATATAATTGTTAACAATATAACTGTATCTTAACAATATACAGACACTCTGTACAGTACATGTCAGACTCTGCCGTCCAGAGAAATAGCCTCGCGCAGAATTCGGCCGTACCTAAAAGGTTAAAGAACGCATCGTTTAATAGAAACGGAGACCATATATCGACGACGCGCATTCACTCGCCATCGCCGTTCGACGAACGCGTTCGATCCGTTGGTTTCCTTTCTGAAATATTTCGCGTGCCTCGACGTAAAAACTCGTGCCAGGAACAGCGTGTTTCGTCGTGGGAAACGAGCCCGCGGTGACGCCGGGTAATAAAGTCGCTTCTCCTTAAAACGAGTCCGAGCGTATAAATCTATTTTATGTGCGACGCTCACTAAAGTCCCCGGGGATTCCAAGGTTGGCTACAAAAAACGCGAAAAAGGAAGAGAGACCGAGAAAGAGAGAGAGCGCGCGCGCGAAAGAGAGAGAGAGGAGAAACGAGGAAGAGACCGTATGGAGGATCGTTTCTCAGTGTGCGCACGTTTCTGCTTCTAATTGTCGCATCGGTGATCGTTAAGAGGGAGGAACGGCGCACGTGGGTCGAAATGTCACCGCAGGAGCGTACCCCGGCGAGGGCCCCGCTGGATTTCGGTAGGAGCTAATTACCGCAGGGACACGGTTCAACGACGCGGCCCCTCTGTCGGCTCCTTTCACGGCCGCTGGAGGTCCACGCCAGAATATTTTCCGTGGAAACGCGGAAGGGCTCTCGCAGCACCCTAAAAAGCGACGGGAATAGAAAAAGTTTCGCGCGAACGGTGGCCGAACCGTCGCGTGATTCGTGGTAGAACCCGAAAAGGGGACGCGTAAAAAAAAAGAAGGACGTCCTCCTCCCGCGTGAAAAACGCGCGCTTCGATTCTTTCTTCTGGCCTCTGATCTCGTCGCTCGAGAGAGCGTCGTCGTCGTCGTCGTCGTCGCGTCGACACGTCCGATTCGTTGATCGCCCTGCTCGGTTCGTCCGTCGTTCTAGAGCGCGTGCTAACGACCGATTGATTAATTTGGCGAGATATGAGAGATCGGGTCGGCCGAGAGAACCCGGACACTCTTTTCCGCCGCGTGAACGGCCGCTCAGGGAAGATCGCGACCGCGCCACACAATAAGGGGTTGTGGCCCGTTGAATGAACCGGTGTGTCTCGGCATCCCGGCTCGTCAATGCCGACCTGTCGTCGACGCTTGCTACATTAACTCCTTTACAAAACCGACAGTCCGCCGCGGGCCCGTCCGTCTCGTTAACGAGGGGGGCACACCCGTTCAACGCATCGACACCTTCCGCCGTCGATCAGCGCGTTCTCGCCACGTGCCAGACCCGCCGATCTCCGCCGCCCCTTTTCCCGCCGATCGAAGCCTCCGCGACCGAATAATCGGCGATCGAGGCAAACACGGATCTCGCGATCTTCCGCTCGGTTTTCGGTCCCCGAACGGAGGCGACGCTATTACGATCTCCGTTTTTCGGAAGGAGAGAGCCGGAGGGCGACGCGTCGCCCGAAATCACGCCCAGCACCCGTTGCCCTCTTGGCTCCACCTTCCGCCATGTTTCGCGAGCCGAGCCGATGTCTCCGATTTAATTTCGTACTAGCATAATTAGCGTCGGTGGCAAGCGTTCAGCGGTCTCGCTCCGCTCGCAGCACCTGTCACCCTTCGAATCTTCCTCGGAATCGTCTTTCCGCGGTCCGCACCGTCCCCGACGCGGAGCGTCCCCCTCTTCCTCCTCCGTCGCCGTCGTCGTCGTCGTCGGTCCTTCATCATTCTGTGCCGCGTTTCCTTCCATCCGTGCCCCGGGTATCGCGAGGATAAATCTGAGAACGCGCGCGGCCACCGGAGCCGGCTTTCAGCGCCAATTAAAGTGTCCTCTCTAAACGACTCGATGAAGACACCCGCCAGCATCCCCGAGGAAACGAGACCGACGCCGCGGCGGGAACACGGACCCCGATGCATATGAGCCGTGCTCATCCGCCTCGTTTTGCTCGATCGATTCCCATAAGACTGAAATATCCCGCGTCGAGCACAGCGGATTCTTACGGAAGGACGACCCGCTGCCAACTCGACGACTCTTCGTTTTGCGTTTTCCACAAATCCGGAATTTGTCGGGAGTCGTTTTCGCGGCGGTTTGCTATGGTTTTGGATAATGTTCGGCGAGGTGAGAACGAGAAATTTGGGAACAGGTTTGTCTCCGCGACGTTTCCGGCGACGACGCGACGTTCGATCGCGTCGGGATTTATGCCAGTCCGAGCTTTCAACCCTTTGCACTCGGACGCCGCCGATACGGCGACGCAATGTACAGTCATTTCTCCCTAATTCGCGATCAGATTGCGACCAGAGTGGGGAGAAGAGAGAAATTTGGGGAGAGGAGATGCGATTGTTCGAGCCTTGTGTCTTGTTTTTATATTTAACGAAAAATTGTCCACTTTTCTGCGCAATCTGAGCGCGAATATTAGGGAGAAATTACTGTATTCTTGCCAAAATATCATCTCTTTTTAATTATTATTTTGCTTCGTGTTGTGAGGTAATCGCGTGAAATGCATAAATAAAGACAGAAAATCTTTTATTCGTCGATTTCTTTAAAATTTTGCGAGCAGCATAATGATTTTTCTTTCAATTCGACACCGTATAACGAAATCTCAATCTGTTCCGAGTGCGAGGGGTTGATCTCCGGCTTCGAGCCAGGTTTTAACCCATTACTCGTCGCGATTCAAAAATACATAAAGAAAATAAATTGAGATTACTAGATTAAACCTTAAGTTTTCAATGATTTAAAACGAAATAGCGGGAATTCTTAATACTTTTATGAGACACGTGATATGATCTCATTACTTTTAATGCCCGTATTTAATTTAGAAGTTGCAGTTTTTAAAAGGAAAAAAATTTGAGAAAGTGTCCAAAAATGGGATATCGGCGGATAATGGGTTAAAACAGCCCTGAACCTAGTTTTTGTGTAACGCGATCGTTATTACTGGATATTTGTGCAAAATAAAAAGTTTATGCGACGATTGCGAGAAATCGAAATTAAATGAAAGGTTGCTCTTTGCTTCAATAATAAAAATAATATTAATAATAATAATATTCATTTGAGCAATGGCAGCGAGTTCCTGTATCACGAGGGTGCAACATGTAGTCACGCAAGTAGCAAATTAAAAGAAATAAAGAAACGAGAAAGAAACAATAAAAGAAAAGCTATAATAGATAGTATACAAAAATAAAGATAAATTTAGCCATCTAAAGTGTGTATTTAAGAAGGGGAAGATCGACTTGCGATGATAACAGTCATTTTAAACGAGCTCTACGAGCATCAATAATTTTAGTAAGATGACAATAACGTGTCAGGGTTCTTGACACCAGAACTACCGAGCCTTGATACCAGATTTACGGAGCACAAAAACAGCTGTTTCATAGTAATGTCTTATTGTTATAAGACATTTAGTCTGATTTTTAACTAGTGTTATCGTAACATTTGTATAAGTACATGTATAAGTAACATATAAATTGAATAAATAACTCGTAAATGTGTATCTGTACGATATGAATAATCGTAGATTAAAAAATTAGTGACCCGTCATTTTCACGGGTTCCGTAAATCTAGTGTTATACACGATCAAAATAATGTATTATACGTTGCTCTCTATAATAATGACAATATTAGATTTACTTCAACTTCGTATCATTTGTATTATAATAAATGCTTGAATATAAAAGATCGCTCAAACACAATTTATCGCAGAAACATTTTTAGAACGTCAGGAAATGTGAAACAAAAACTCGGAGACCAGTCATTTCGATCGGTTCGGTAGTTCTATTGTCAAAAAAACCACCGATGATTTTCCTGCTTCGCATTCCGCCGTCTAGTTGTTACCAACAAAATCTAAATTTACCGTTTCAATTACCAATCGACAAATTCAACGAATCGTTCCGCGACGAAGACGTCGCAACGAGCTCGAACAGTCGCGCGATATCGCCGCGAGAAGCAGAAGAAACGAGACGAAAGAGAAAAAGCTTGCGAAGAACTCATCGCCACCGTCAGAAAACTGTCGCGTCAGCTTTCGCGAATACAGTAATAAACTCCTTTTAAATAAAAACCTTGTAGCAGCTTGCCAACGGCGTCGTCCAACGAGCTGCCGCAGGTTTCCCCGGTGGACGTGCCGGCTTTCGTCTCCGTCGCCGAGGACGCGTTATCGCGGTGCGGCTCCATCTCTTCGTATCCTCTCGTCGATCACTTATCTGTCGTTCTCCGCATTCGCGACGCGGACAACGAACGTGTTCCCCGTCGCCGAACCCCCGGGGGCGACACGTCTCCCTCGGAACAGCCTAAGGGCGATCCGGATCCGGCCGAGGATTTCGGCGAAACGGCCTCCGAGTTGCTTATCGTTGGCTTCTTTATCGCGGACTTCTTCCTTCTTCACGTGAAGCTCGGGCCGCGCATCGTAAAGAATCGGGACGGACGGGGTCGACAATTAGCTGGCGGGGTTATCTCGACGGCCGCGTAATTTATCGACGGCCGGGGGTGGCCCTCCGGTTGTCTCTTGTCGACGAGAACCCGTATCTTCGTCGCATCGACTTCCGTCGCTCTCTTCTCGCCCCTTTTGTCCGTGACTCGATCTTCCGCGCGCGATCCGCTCGAATCTCCAGAAAAGCGCTATCACCACCGGCCGTGTCTCCACGGCTCGTTTTGATCCCAGGTGACCGGCTGCTCGAGGATCCGTGGACCAGAGGCGAGAGAACGCGCGCGCGCACCTTTCGTCCCGGCGACCGACGAACAATTAAATCGACGAGCGAGGAGATCGACGGCTCCGATCGCGAGAGAAAGAAATAGAGAGATAGAGAGATAGAGGCAGAGAGAGGATCCCCCGAGGCACCGTTCGCCGGAGAGAAGACCGCGGCGTGCGCGCGGATCAAGGAGACTCCGATGGCTGACTGACTGACTGACTGACGCGAAGACTAGAGAACAGAAGAGAGACACGGACGCGCGTCCCGGTGTCGCTGTGGAGGTTCGTTCGGGGACCAGGCACACAGGTTGGTCCACGAAAGCAGAAACGGCAGAAACGGCGAGCACACGTCTGGCACACGCTCCAAACGTTGGATGGCAGATCGCGGAGGCGGTTCCGTGGACCACCTCTGTCCCCCTGGTGGGGAGCCACCACCTAGGATCTTCTTCCTTTTTCTACACCGTCGCGAGACCTACTCTTCCCGCATCCTTCGGCACCACCGATCCTGCCTATACGATACGTCTCGTTCTACCGGTGGCCGAGCTGCTCTCCGCGCCGGGCTTCGAAACGGAGAGATTCGCGCGAGACGCGCGCCGTGGAATTCGTCGGAGCGTTCCGCGCCGCGGGAATCTATTAATCGCGATTATCTCGGGCCCGGCTCTCGCCGCGATTATTTGATCCTAGCAAACAGGCTCGTCGGTGAACGCGATTAGATTGTATTATCTGGCCCCGAGGGGGTGGAGCGGGTGGCGCGTGGGGGGAATCGAAAAACCAAAGGACCGGGTGTCGCCGGTGACCGTGACGCCGCGAGGATTCCCGTTCCCGGCCGCTTTATAATTAGATCGACAGTCTCGGTGCGCGATTTTGCGCGTTCGACGACATCGTGGGGGTGGAACGGGAAGCTCGGGCCGCGGGGGGAGTGGCGGGCGGACCGAGAAACAGAGCAAGAAGAGCGTCGTACGGTGCATAAATCCAAGGGCGAGTTGTCGGAGGGCGGCGGCTCCCCTTTCGCTGGTGGCCGCGCGCCGCTGCACACGGATCCCGCGGGTTGACAGTCCCGTCCTTTCTGCCGAGCCTAATTATACAACGAATTTAATGAATGACCGAGCTGCCAGAGACAGTGGCCCATACATGAGCGTATATAAACCACGGTCAATGCCGTGTGGCGGCTTTTGTGCGAGATCAAAGGGGTTAGCCATCCCGGGACTCCGCACTTCGCAGGATTAACTCGCGGCGCGATCGCGAGCGTAAAACCGCGCGCGCGCGCGCCCGGCCTCTCTCGGAAACGCTCGAGACACTCGGACGGATTACGGATCGCCTAACGTTTTTATCCGGGTGTCGACGCCGAGCCTATCTCGCGCGGAGAAACGCCGAGCGAGCCCCGCCGCGAGATTCCGTCGCGACGCGATCGGCTGGCTCTCGACGGCAGAGCCGAAGCGGCGCGGATCCACCGCGAAAACGTCGACGGACGCGTGGGCGAGGCTTTCGTCCCATCTGTCCCATCCCCCGAGCATCCCCGTTGCCCACCGATCGCCGCAACCCGCGCCCCCTTCGCGCTCCCGATCCCGTTTCTCCCCCGCGCCCCGGTGCAACGCGGCCGCAGCGCGCCATTACCCGCCCCCGCGCTCGCCCGCGATCACAGATTTAGCCGGCCGCGAACAATAATATTGATTTCAGCAAGCCGGAATTTTGCTCTTCCTGGGATAAACATCCCGGACGCGCACGTGGCGGCAATATGTTCGGCTCCGGATCGCTCCCGGTATACACCGCGCGAAGGAGAACGCGCCCAGTTTTCAGGGACGTTCGGGAAACGCGTGGCCGCCGGTTTCCCTGAAAAAGGACACCGGCCGCGTATCTCGCGTCCGTTTCGGGCCGAGCCCAAACAAACCGGAACAAGGATTCTTCTTCTCTATCGTCGTCGCTCGTTCAGGGTTAACCGGCGTCCGAGAACGTTTTCGCCGCTCCTCCTCGGCGCTCCGCCTCGGCCCGCTCGCACGAAGTGTGCCGCAGCTGCTCGCTTGTCGGCGGTCGCGCGGGGACACCCACGGCAAAACGACGGTCCCCGCGGCGGATACGCGGGCCTGGATACGGACCACGGGCACCGCCGCCGCCGCCGCGGATATCGGATAATGATTTCAGTAATTCCCGGCGGGCCCCGAGAGTCCCGCTCTGTCGGACACTTGAAAGGATCGTCGACGAGAGGACCAGGGGGCCGACTGGGTGCCCGACACATGTAGCCCCCCGGGTGGCGGGCACCGCAACTCCACGGACCCCCAACGGTGACACGAGCTACGGGACATTCTGCACTGTCATCGAGCCGGCTTCGTGTCATCGCGTACCGCGTAAGCTCCGTATCATCCCCGCGCACGAGTCCCCGAGCCACCAAACCTAAGACCGTTTCGGTGCCCTAAGTCGGCCTAACGTCGACTCGGTCGCTGCCCAAGAACCCTTCACCTTCGTCAACGGACGCGAAATTGCAATGGAAACGATCGTTCGGACGCGACAACGTCGGAGCTGCGGCTTTCTTCTCGACGAGGCGTTCGATTTTTCATCGCGTCGCCGCGTCCGTTTCTTCGATATGTAACTTACAAATGTAATTTCGAGTCTGGGAGCTTTTTACGTCGAGATTCTGTGAGAAGATCTCCGCCTGGAAAGCGACGATTTTTGAAGCGAAGGGGCCTTTTTTAGCTGCTGAGATTGACTTTTAACCGACTCGGAAGTTTTAATAACTCTTTCGATTCGATAATTCGACGGGAAGAAGCTGCAACGCTGCAGCTGTTGCAACGGTCTGCGACGACTCCGACGATCTCTCGACGTCGAACTCGTCGTCCCGACGTCTCGAACGATCGAGAATCGGTCGGCCGCAGCGCCGGTCGCCCCGGGACCCCGTGGACGAGTGCAAGCTGCACGGTGCAACCATCGACGGCGGGCCGACTTGGTGCATCGCCAGGAAAATTGCACGCTCCTCCTTGATGACGTCGTAATTGCCAACGACCGGCCGGCCAATAGGCGCTCCTGCGTGGGAGCGAGGCAGAGAGAACGACCGGGTGGAACCGGGACGGGGCCGCGGCGGAGAAAGGAGAGGAGAGATAGGTGGAGCGAGGAGGAACCCGATTGGTCCTACTCCCAGAGGATATCGTAGCCATGGAAACTCTTGTCGCCGCGAGGAGAAACCGCTCCGAAATAAGTGATACGGGGGAGGGAGCCCTGGAAGGGAGCGATAGCCGGCGGGGGATCGAACGTGGAGGAGAGGCGGTCGCGATCGAAAATTCACGCGATTTCTTGGCGGCCTGCCATTTGGAAAAGTACCTACTTCGACGCGTTTCGGAGCACGATGCCGTTTTTATCCCCTCGCTCGTGCGACCGAGATGTTCGCGGTATTTCAAGCTCGGCCGTTCGAAAGATTTTACAACAAATTTTTGTCGACGGCGCAGCGAGGACGGGGATCCGTTGCGGCACCGTCGAGCGTTGCTGAAAATTGTTGGAGAAGATGTAGAAATGAGTGCAGTACGTTCTAGCTGATTTTCCTTGTCAATAAAAATGGACAATTTGGGGAGAGGAGTCTTGCGACTCGCTTTTATAATTGTTGATAATAGGTGGCTATAAAAGTGAGCCGCGAGGCTTTTAATAATCGTATCTATTCTTTACAAATTGTCCATTTTCGTCTGCAAGCTGAAGGTGAATTAGGGAGTATTTGCTATACTCGGTTTTTACACGCAGTTTTTTCTACGAAAAATTCGAAGTCAATTGCGGGATGTTAATATGATTGTATGACGCATACATGATACACTGCTGTGCTTGTTCAAACCACAGTAAATACATTCCAATTGTCGTTAAAAAACAAAAATGATCGTCAAGAATTTGGGAAGACAATTTTAGAAGAGTAGATTCGATGTGCGTAGTTGGTCAACAACAATGAAAACGAGCTGCGAGGCTCGTATAATTGCACCTACTCTTCAAAAACTCTCCATTTTTGTTTAGAAGCTGAAGGAAAATTAGAGAAAATTAACTGTATTAATTTTCAATAAATAATAGCAACGAGCAATGTATGTATAGTTTATAAGCTACTATTATTATTAATATATCTTATAAATAATAGCAACGAGCAATATATATAGCTTATAAGCTACTATTGTTATTAATACAGCTTATAAATAATAGCAACGTGCAATATATGTATATAGCTTATAAGCTACTATTGTTATTAATACTGCAGGAATGTATATATAGTTTATAAGCTATTATTATTATTAATACAGCTTATAAATAACAGCAACGAGCAGACAAATGAACAGATCGAATACAAAACAACGAAAACATACAAAAGCTCGAAGATCGCAATTGCTTCGATTGCAAATCAATAAAACGATTAAACCGATTAAAATAAAAATCTCCTACGTAGCACCCGTATCTCGCAATTCGCGCAGTCAATCTCAATTTTGCATAAAAATCCACGGTCTAACAACGGTGGCTCAACAATGAATTACAATCTCGCCCCCCCAAAAAACACGGATCTCGGAAATTGTGCTCGAATCAATTCGCCGAGCGACGATGCAAAAAACGATCTCTGACATTTGAGCCGTTTATTTTGAAAGCGGCATAAGTCACTTTGTTTTTAAGTCTCGATATATTAAATATATACCCTCTTAAATTTTAAGGGTTTGCGTTTGAACACGTTTAAAAACATGGATGCTAACTTTCCAGAAGATTTACTTGTATTTCTTATCTCAGTATACTGATATTTTTCTCAGTACAAATAATTTCGCATAAACATTAAAAAATCACCACTTTTCATTACGGTTGAAGTGCCTTCTGCCACTTTCAAAATAAACGGCTCATTTCCCCGGACAGTCGTCGCAGCGCGAACAACGTCTCAAATAAATTCGCGGTTGCGTAACTCCAGGCCCGTCTCGATCCCGGCCGAATCGATCGAACAGTTTCGANGAAGTCAATTGCGGGATGTTAATATGATTGTATGACGCATACATGATACACTGCTGTGCTTGTTCAAACCACAGTAAATACATTCCAATTGTCGTTAAAAAACAAAAATGATCGTCAAGAATTTGGGAAGACAATTTTAGAAGAGTAGATTCGATGTGCGTAGTTGGTCAACAACAATGAAAACGAGCTGCGAGGCTCGTATAATTGCACCTACTCTTCAAAAACTCTCCATTTTTGTTTAGAAGCTGAAGGAAAATTAGAGAAAATTAACTGTATTAATTTTCAATAAATAATAGCAACGAGCAATGTATGTATAGTTTATAAGCTACTATTATTATTAATATATCTTATAAATAATAGCAACGAGCAATATATATAGCTTATAAGCTACTATTGTTATTAATACAGCTTATAAATAATAGCAACGTGCAATATATGTATATAGCTTATAAGCTACTATTGTTATTAATACTGCAGGAATGTATATATAGTTTATAAGCTATTATTATTATTAATACAGCTTATAAATAACAGCAACGAGCAGACAAATGAACAGATCGAATACAAAACAACGAAAACATACAAAAGCTCGAAGATCGCAATTGCTTCGATTGCAAATCAATAAAACGATTAAACCGATTAAAATAAAAATCTCCTACGTAGCACCCGTATCTCGCAATTCGCGCAGTCAATCTCAATTTTGCATAAAAATCCACGGTCTAACAACGGTGGCTCAACAATGAATTACAATCTCGCCCCCCCAAAAAACACGGATCTCGGAAATTGTGCTCGAATCAATTCGCCGAGCGACGATGCAAAAAACGATCTCTGACATTTGAGCCGTTTATTTTGAAAGCGGCATAAGTCACTTTGTTTTTAAGTCTCGATATATTAAATATATACCCTCTTAAATTTTAAGGGTTTGCGTTTGAACACGTTTAAAAACATGGATGCTAACTTTCCAGAAGATTTACTTGTATTTCTTATCTCAGTATACTGATATTTTTCTCAGTACAAATAATTTCGCATAAACATTAAAAAATCACCACTTTTCATTACGGTTGAAGTGCCTTCTGCCACTTTCAAAATAAACGGCTCATTTCCCCGGACAGTCGTCGCAGCGCGAACAACGTCTCAAATAAATTCGCGGTTGCGTAACTCCAGGCCCGTCTCGATCCCGGCCGAATCGATCGAACAGTTTCGAGCGATCTCGATCGATCTCGGCCAAGTTTCCGCGGATTTCCGACAAAGCGTCCGCGCCCGCGATCGCGCGCAGTCGAAAGCTGCCGGGGGTGGAGGCAACGAAAGATCCTCTCCGCGCCGCGTCCGCGCCGCGTCCGCGCCCCTTTCCCCCCTTCGAGCCGGTGGCAGGCATCATCGGTGGGCACGATCGCGAAGCAACAAGTGTTACCAGCTCCACGGCGTCGCCCCGCCCCCAACCAGCAGCCGGCGTCGGAGGGAATCGGTGGAAACTGCCCCGAGGCGATGCAACCACCTCACTCGAGCGCCGATCGCGCCAGCAACTAGAAATCATTCTCGCCCGGCACACACCGGTCTCTCTTTCTCTCTCTCTCTCTCTCCCTCTCTCTCTCTTTCTCTCTCTTCTCCCGTTCGCGTCTCCGTCGCTTTGTCAAACGATGTCAACCGCGGCCCAGCGACGCCGTGCCGAGCGGAAGTGAGCCATCGCACCGACCGGAGAGAGAGCTGCGTCGTCGTCAGCATCGTCGACGTCGTCGTCGTCGTCGTCGTGATCGTCGTGATAGAGCATCGTCCGTGATCCAGTGAGAGTTTTGTGGAAATCGTGTGTTCGCCGTATCGTCGACGGAGGATGAAGATCCGACGGTCCGGGAGCTGAACAGGTCCCCGGAAGAAGAATCGTGTGTCACCGCGCTCCTCGGATCGACGGCGATCTACGAAGCCGAAAGAGACATCGTGGTCGTTCGAGATTTTCCTCAAGGTTTATATCGGGGAGAAACCTCTGTGAAAAACCTCTCTGTGAATCCGTTTATCCGGCCGGAGCCCGACGCGGCCCGCGCAGCGCACAGCACGATAGCCGGCTGCCAGGGAGCAAACAGAGCAAAAAGCTCGCGCGCGGTGCACAAAGGAGAGCGGAGAGATTAGGATTGCCGGTGGCTCGCGCGTGTGTTCCCGAGCCGCGAGGAAGAAGCTCGCCGGTCCGCGAGATAGACCCGCCGTCTCGGCGACCTCGCGAGAATCGGAGCCGCGCCGCGACGGGCCGCCGCGCGTGCCCGTCTCGCTCGCTCTTCTCTCGGGGCACGATCCAGCGGGAAATTAATCGAACGCGCGAGGCCCGATACATACGGCCAGTGGGCACAGCGCCGCCGTCGCGTCTCGCCGCGCGCGCGAGAGAGAATCGGAGACGAGAAGAACGAAACACGGGAAAAGTCGGTCCGTCGACGGGCCCCGCGGGCCGCGCGCGTTCCCCCCGCGAAACGGAAGTGACGTCGCGATGATAAAACGGTAATTACGATTAACCCGTTAGCCCGTTGTTCCACCGGACGATGAGCATTCCCAGTGCGAGATAAACACGTTTTTTCTTCGCCGAGCAACACGATTATTCATTCGCCGTCGAGGATTTCACGATCGTCGAAGCCAAACCCCGCGGAAAGATGAACGACGTCATGGGAGAAGCGTCCGGCTCGATCTCGTCGAACAGCGCTGCTGCCACCGCCGCGGCCGTCGTTAACAGTATAAACAACAACGGCGGCAACGCGAAGAACAATGGGAAGGGTGTCGCTGCCGTGGTCACGGCGGTCGGCGCGAACAGCGGCGAGAAGATCAGCGCGGCGGTCACCAAGGTTCTTAAGGGATACGACTGGACCCAGATACCGATCGCTACCAAGTGAGTTTCCTGTTCGACGCGGCCCGATTACCGTGGCCCGGCGTCCGGCCGCGTCGCCGACGGATTCGCTCGAAACGAATTGTTCGGTTATTCGAGTAAATGATTCGATTGAAGTAAAACGACGATTATTCGAGCAATTTTGTAATCGATCGAACGTATCTCGTTCGAACCGCGCGGGCCCGTGTTTCCGGTTCCAGCGACGGATCGGCGGAGCGGCGCGATTCCGAGCGCAAACAGGTTGCCAGGTTGCCGAGCCGTTTTAATCGCCGCGAGAGTCGCATTAGCAGGCATTAACGCCGACGGGGTTACCGCTAAGCGTTTTAGGCACGGCCGGAGGTGTTCGCTGTCGCGGAAAAGGAGGGGAAACGCGAGGAAAAAGTCGAAGTAACCGGCGGGACGGGGCGGGTCGAGGCGCGGCGCGGCGCGAAGCGGCTTGAAAAATACGTAACGCTAACTTAATTATGACGCACTCGTTTCCTCGGCTTGGGAAACGTCTGCTGGAAAAATGTCCTCGGCTGCCAATTAACGCAAATTAGCTAATTAATGCTCGATCTCGCCGCGTCTCCCCGGCCACCCCCGCCACCCTTCCGTCGATCGCCGGCGCAGCCGCTCGTGGGAAGCGCGCGGCGTGCAGATCGAAAAGGACGAGCGATACGGGGAACGCGATTCTGCTGCTGCTGCTTCTTCTTCTTCTTCTTCTTCTTTTTTTCTCTCGTTTCGCTGGCGTATCGGAGAGAAGGGGACGAATTAATAGCCGTCTCGTTGCGCCATACCGACGATCGTTCCGATTCGATAAAATCGAAACGGCTCCGGGGAAAATGACGCAATCCGCTCGATGGCGCAGAAACGAAATCGCCGCGGCGTTCCGCGCGCGGTGGTCTTCTTGGTCGATCGTCATTCTCGATCGCTCTCTCTCTCTCTCTCTCTCTCTCTCTCTCTCTCTTTCTCTCTCTCTCTATATATAATATTGTTGTCTTATTCTCTTTATCTCTATCCCAATTATGCGCCCGATCGCGGCGGGCGGGCCGGCAAAGGTGGACGAAAGGTGTTCGCCGTTTCCACGGAAAATTTCCCCGGCTCCCGGTGCCGGCACCTCCGAGTGTATCGCTATGCGCTTATCGCGGTAACCCTCAATTACACGGGGTTATCTCGGGGTAGCTAAAGGGTACCGTGTTTATTCCCGGCGATAGGGGCCGATAAAATCGACTAGTTTTAATTCCCATGGATTCTATGAGAACCAACCCCCGTCGCGGTTCCTCTGTTTGCCCACGGTAATTCCACGGTGCGCCCTTTCCCTCTCTCTCTCTCTCTCTTTCTCTCTCTCACATTCTGGATTCGTCGCCGATCATCCTGCGACCGTGCTCCGCTTCGCAATTCCGCTCCGCGATTCCGTTCCGATTCCTCGCCCGCTGGATTTTTGCCGACTCGCGTTCGCTCGCTCGCTTTTCTTGCGACATCCTCTTTCGCAAGCCACCGGTGGCAACGGAGAGAAAGCGAAGAGAGGCTGGATGTGCAGCTGGGTGCATCATTTGACAGTGCCACGCCTACGCGTCCTCTCCGGCAGTGGCCGGTGCGAGGCGGCGTAAACGAGGTGTAAAAGACTCGTCGACGATTTTTTCGCGTGTACAGGTAAACCGCCGCTCCAAACGGCGTCGTAGTCGCGACTGCCGTGAAAACCCTTGTTAGTGGGCCCGCGCTAATTACAAACGGCTCCTCGGGTTTACACACGGATTTAACGCCCCTCTTATTTCAAAGAGGCCGAAATATATACGAGCCTGTTTTCGAATCCTTGGCTGCATTTTTATTCCGTGCCGATCGCCTCGCGCGCGCGCTTTCGAAACTGCATCCTGGAAACTGCGCGTCGCGAACCTCGTTCTAGGAAACGCCCCTTCGATCTTCGTAGGGAACGTAGCTGGCTCCGCGAGCACATTCGCGAGAAATTCGGACGTCGGTCTGTGGGAGGACGGCGCGATTGCTGAGGCGATGCGTTTTTAAGGACTGCCGGAGAACGGGGACATATAGTTAATTTTCTCACTGATTTGCACTCTGATTTCGCACAGAAATGGGCAATTTGGGAAACAGAGATACGATTATTGGAGTCTTGCGGCTCGTTTTTATAGTTATCGATTGTCGACGATTAGAAAAACGAGACGCGAGGCTCGAATAATCGCATCTACTTCTCCAAAATTGTCCATTTCTGTGCGTACGGTAATTTTCCTCTAATGTCGCACTCTGATTTCGCAGAAAAATTGACAATTTGGGAAGCAGAGATGCGATTATTGGAGTCTTGCGGCTCGTTTTTATAGTTATCGATTGTCGACGATTAGAAAAAAGAGACGCGAGGCTCGAATAATCGCACCTACTTCTCTCAAATTGTCCATTTCTATGCGTACGGTAATTTTCCTCTAATGTCGCACTCTGATTTCGCAGAAAAATTGACAATTTGGGAAGCGGAGGTACGATTATTTCAGTTTTTATTGAATATAGTTTTAATACGGAGTTGTTACCACTATATAGTTAACTATTATATGTTAATATAGTTAATATTGTTAATATTATATACTTAAGTTTATACTTAATATTATAGTTAATATTATATATCATAGCTAACTCTTATATAATTTGTATAGTCACCGATTGACAACAACTATAAAAACGAAACGAAAGGCTCGAATAAATGCATAATTAATTAATTCGAATAAATATATAAATTTCTCCACAATCTGAGCGCGAATTACGGAGAATTTAGTCTAATCTTTCTTCGAAATAATGATTCTCCAACTCGATTGCAACGAACAGGAGTTGAATAAAAATTTACTTTATATTTCTTGACACATTTAATCGGTTGAAAACAATGGCACAGTAACTCGCGACACACATAGGTGCGCGCTCCGAAAATGGTTGCGCCACAGAAAACCGTTTAATATCGCGATCGGTCGACTCATATTTTTCCCTAAGCGATCGCGCGAACGTCTTCTCGATTTCCTCGCAGAAGGATAAATTCGATGGTTCCCGGTCTCGGGGCATATCGGGGCCCTCGAGGCCCCCGCAGGCCCCAGAAAGAAAACAGCGCGAGGAAGAAGTAGGTACTCGCAATCACGTCAGTCACGTCGATTCGGTCCGAGACAGAGGGCAACAGTTTTATGAAGTCATCTTCTAGGAAAGAAAGGGATACGTCCATTCCTGCTCGTCACCGGTTGGCAGCGGCGGTGTTATTTTAAGGCCGGTTTTAAGCGTGCCGTGGCGGCTCGCCCGGATGACCCGGGGGTAGCTGCGCCGGTTACAAAACTCGAGACGGGACGATGCACAACGCGCGGCACCGTCTGTCAGGAGCCAGAAGACGGCAGCCTCCGGTTGTATTTTCTTCTGCAAGTCACCCGACGATCGGGACTCCGTTTTCGAGAAACCCCTGCGGTATCCTTCGCGCGGGTCGACCGACAGCGAATTCCTCTCGTCCCGAATGAAAATCACCTTCCGGCGGGTACGATTGCGCGTAATCTGCCGCGGCGACACCGCGACGGAGTCATTGTTGACGCAGAGACCCTACGGAGGTCCAGAAGCGACTAACAAACTGTTGCCTTGTGAGAATTACAAGGCACGGCTTGCTCGAATTTTTCGTGATTTTTATAACAGCGTTATAAAATACGAACGAAGAAATATATTTCTCTAATGCAATTTTTTAATGCAAGCAGCGTTATCGCATTAATAATTTAAAAAAATGTGAAAAATATGAAATCGGCCCGTTTGATCGACGGTGATAGATTTAGCGTTCAAGAAAATGAGAACCAGGATCGACGGTGCAGTAAATTCTCCCTAATTGACGCTCAGATTACGGTAATTTCACCCTAATTCGCGCTCGGATCGCGCACGAAATGGACGATCTTGGAAGAGGAGATACGATTATTCTCGAGTCTTCCGTCTCGTTTTTATAGCTGTTGACAATCGATGACTATAAAAACGAGCTGCAAGGCTCGAATAATCGCATCTGCTCCTCCCAAATTGTCGATTTTTGTGCGCAATCTGAGCGCGACATTAGAGAGAAATTACTGTGTGCACAAAAATGGATAAATTTGGGAAGAAGAGATACGATTATTCTCAAGCCTTGCGTTTCGTTTTTATGGTTATTGTCAATCGGTGACTATAAAAATGATATAATAGTTAACTATAATATATAATATTAACTATATAATATTAACTACATTAACATATAATAGTTAACTATATAATAGTAAAACTCTATATTAAAACTCTATTCAATAATAACTATAATGGTCGTATCTCCGCTTCCCAAATTCTCCATTTTTGTGCGCAATCTGAGCGCGGCATTAGAGGAAAATTACTGTTCGCAGAGAAATGGACAATTTGGGAGAAGTAGATTCCATTATTCGAGCCTCGCGTCTCTTTTTTCTAACCGTCGACAATCGGTAACTATAAAAACGAGCCGCAAGAACTCCAATAATCGCATCTCCGGTTCCCAAATTGTCCACTTTTGTGCGCAATCTGAGCGCGACGTTAGAGACAAATCACTGTACGCACAAAAATGGACAATTTGGGAGAAGTGGAGCCTCGCGTCTCATTTTTATAATCGTCGACAATCGGTAACTATAAAAACGCACCGCAAGGCTCGAACGAACGCGTCCCTTCATTCCAAATGCATCAATTTTCGTGCGCCCTCCGCGAGGGCGCGAATTAGAGCGAAATTACTATAATTCCCGTCGATCTAAGCACGGCGCGAAGTAACTCAAGCGCGTAGACGTAACGAAGGCAAACGTTTCCAATGAAGATAACGTGCTCGAATTGCAGGAGTTCCGGCGACAAAAGGCAGGCCCACGTGAAGAGGCCCATGAACGCGTTCATGGTGTGGGCGCAGGCCGCGAGGCGGATCCTGGCCGAACAGTACCCTCAGCTGCACAACGCGGAGCTGTCCAAGAGCCTCGGGAAAATATGGCGGTGAGTGTATCGCGGATTTCGATTCGCCTCCGCAGCGAGACGATCGTCGTCCGCCACGGGAAAACGAAGCGGCGAGGATGATATTCGCGTGTCTCTGCGACGGCGCTGCGTCCCGATTAAATTAATCGGCACCACGTGTCGCGGGCCCCGCGATCAGATAAACCCGATTCTCACAGGCGCTGGCCTGCCGGCTGGCAGCGAGCCATGAACGCGTTTCAATCTCGTCTTCTTTCCTCGCGGCCCGATGGACAAGACACCGAAGAGAAACCTGCTGCCCCGCCGCTCGCCATGGCCGACCGTGCGTAATCAACGGCGTAGCCTGGCCCGATCCACGCGACCACTTGTTGCACGCGGGCCTATTTTTAAACGCGAATTCGCGGCCGGCCTTTTTTTTCTCTCCCCGCTCTCTCTCTCTCTCTCTCTCTCTCTCTCTCTCTCTCTCTCTCTCTCTCTTTGCTGCTCGTACACATTCCTACCACGTGGCGCCGAGGCTGCACGTGGTAGGACCCCGTGACATCTATACGAACCCCCGCGCTGTCTGCCGCTCCTCGACACCCGGTTCGACCTTTTTCTCGCGGCCCCCGGCGCGCTTTTTACCCGGGAAACCGGAAATCGCGGCGCCGCAGCCGCCGCACGGCGACCCAGCCCGGCGTGACCGTCTTCGATCCCGATCGGTCGATCGATCGAAAGGAAATCGGCGGCGGTCCCTTGTCCGTGAAAGTCGCGAGCCGTTCGAGGATGCCGTCGTTTCCTGGTCGGGGCTAACGAGCTGCCCCACAGTGGGCCCGCGAGGATCACAGAACGAGCCGACGGGGACCCCCGCGGAGAATCATTTTACAATGCCTGGATCGCGATCCCGATCGACGATCGAGAGCTCCGCCGATCTTTTCTCTCGTCTCTCTCTCTCTCTCTCTCTCTCTCTCTCTCTCTCTCTGTCTCTTTTTCTCTGTTTCGACGTCGCGTTAGCCGCGGTTCCAGCAAAATTCTGTCACGATGCTGAGTTCGTTACACGGGACTTTACGAGGCTGCCGGTGGTCTCGCGGTGCGAAGTGTTTGTAACCGATGATTTCACGGCCGGGGCACGTTTGTTCGGGCGCCCGCGCTCCCGGCGGAGTCCCTAAATTTCGGCCTCTAAAAAGTAATTATTTAGCGCCTTCCGAAATAGACCCCGAGCACCAATTAACACCGGCTACCGAACCCAGGCCGGCCTTTCTTCTCCGGCAACGTCGGCCTTTCCCCGCTGTTCGGGCGTCCCGTAACCTCGAGGACCGCAGAGCTTCCACGGGATTTCTAGCGGCTCGATTCAACGGCGTTGTTACCAGTCATCTCTGCTAATGAGAACGACGTCGAAATCCGCGAGCGATCGGCGAAATCCGCGAACTCGCAGCGCGTACGCTTCGATTCCGAGCGAAATCTGTTTAGGTACGTGTGCGCGCTTTTTGACGAAGCGAGTAAAGGGGCTATTTCTATGCGACTTAGCTGAAACGATAGCTTGAAGCGTCTAGTTTAAGATAGGGTAGATCAGATTGTAATAGAATGACGGGATCATTTTGAGATATTAAAAGGAATCGACCTCTGATGTTATGGGGTTCGCAAGATTTATAAGGGAAATTTCGAATGGATTTTAAGATATGTCTTCGTAGAGCTGTTTTAATGCGACGTAGCTTAAATGAAAGCTGGAAGTGTCTACTTTAAGATAGGATAGATCAGATTGTAATAGAATGACAGAATCATTTTGAGATATTAAAAGGAATAGACCTCTAATATCATGAAGAAGCAAGATTTAAAAGGGAGATTTCGGATAAATTTTAAGATACGTCTCCGTAGAGTTATTTTTATGCCACTTAGCTCAAACGAAAGCTGGAAGCGTCTATTGTAAGACAGGGTAGATCATATTGCAATAGAATGACGAGACAAGTTTGAGAAATAATAAAGAATCGACTTCTGACATCGTAGGGTTCGCAAGATTTAAAAGAGAAATTTCGTATGAATATTAAGATACGTCTGCGTAGAGCTATTTCTATGAAACTTAGCCCAAACGAAAGCTAGAAGTGTCTACTTTAAGACAGCGTAGATCAGATCGTAATAGAAAGACGGGATAATTTTGAGAAATTAAAAGGAATCGACCTCTGTCGTCATAGGATCTCCAAAATTTAATAGAGAAAGTTTGGTTGGATTTTAAGATACGTCTCCATAGAGCTATTTCTACAAAACTTAGCTCAAATGAAAGCTTGAAGCGTCTACTTTAAAACAGGGTAAATCGTATTGCAATAGAACGACGAGACAATTTTGAGAAATAATAAAGAATCGACTTCTGACATCATAGAATTCGCAAGATGTAAAAGGTAAATTTCGAATAGAATTTAAAATACGTCTCCGTGGAGCTATTTCTATGAAACTTAGCTCAAATGAAAGCTGAAAACGTCTACTTTAAAACAGGGTAAATCATATTGCAATAGAACGACGAGACAATGTTGAGAAATAATAAAGAATCGTCTTCTGACATCATAGAATTCGCAAGATGTAAAAGGGAAATTTCGAATAGAATTTAAAATACGTCTCCGTAGAGCTATTTCTATGAAACTTAGCTCAAATGAAAGCTGAAAACGTCTACTTTAAAACAGGGTAAATCATATTGCAATAGAACGACGAGACAATGTTGAGAAATAATAAAGAATCGTCTTCTGACATCATAGAATTCGCAAGATGTAAAAGGGAAATTTCGAATAGAATTTAAAATACGTCTCCGTAGAGCTATTTCTATGAAACTTAGCTCAAATGAAAGCTGAAAACGTCTACTTTAAAACAGGGTAAATCATATTGCAATAGAACGACGAGACAATGTTGAGAAATAATAAAGAATCGTCTTCTGACATCATAGAATTCGCAAGATGTAAAAGGGAAATTTCGAATAGAATTTAAAATACGTCTCCGTAGAGCTATTTCTATGAAACTTAGCTCAAATGAAAGCTGAAAACGTCTACTTTAAAACAGGGTAAATCATATTGCAATAGAACGACGAGACAATGTTGAGAAATAATAAAGAATCGTCTTCTGACATCATAGAATTCGCAAGATGTAAAAGGGAAATTTCGAATAGAATTTAAAATACGTCTCCGTGGAGCTATTTCTATGAAACTTAGCTCAAATGAAAGCTGAAAACGTCTACTTTAAAACAGGGTAAATCATATTGCAATAGAACGACGAGACAATGTTGAGAAATAATAAAGAATCGTCTTCTGACATCATAGAATTCGCAAGATGTAAAAGGGAAATTTCGAATAGAATTTAAAATACGTCTCCGTAGAGTTATTTCTATGAAACTTAGCTCAAATGAAAGTTGAAAACGTCTACTTTAAAACAGGGTAAATCGTATTGCAATAGAACGACGAGACAATTTTGAGAAATAATAAAGAATCGTCTTCTGACATCATAGAATTCGCAAGATGTAAAAGGTAAATTTCGAATAGAATTTAAAATACGTCTCCGTAGAGCTATTTCTATGAAACTTAGCTCAAATGAAAGCTGAGAACCTCTACTTTAAGTTGGAGTAAATCCTTACAGATATCCTAATAGATACTTATTGTATAATAAGTCCGTTCGCATCGACGACCGCGCGGTGCTACGTATTCCTACAAGAAAACGCGAACGAACTTGTTACGCAATCTAATAATATTTATGGAGGAGCCACGGGGATTTCCGATTCGCCGCATAGTTGACAAGATTAATTCGTTAGTCTTCGATCAGGCGATTATTTGCGGACGGGGGGAAGGGCTGTGCTCGTGCTATCGACGCCGATACGCGGGGTGCCGAGTAGCCAGGTGTAGGCGTCGGAAATAAATCTTCTCCTTTTTCTTCCGGCTCGAAAGGTATCGCGGTTCGGATATTAGACTCGATGTTTGTCGACAAAACGAAAACAGATACGTATCCCCCGGTTCATCCTTGGCGCGTGCTGGCAGCTGCCTGCCGGTTCCTGCCACAGATAAAGAGCCCCCAAGGATCACAATAAACGCCTTGTCCCCGTCAGGTGAATTTTTCCGAACTGCCCCTTCCTCCCGACCCGTTAAGTCCCCTACGACGGAGACCGCGCGCAAATAAGGCTCGTGACGAACAGGTAAATGCATCTTATCTGACGGAAGCAACGCGTTCCGATCTTCCCGGCCACGGCTACGCGAGTCCCCAAGAGACACGTACGGGGCTACCCCAGCGATTCTTCCGCCATTTTGCAACGCCGCGTCTCCTTTCTTTTGGATCTGTGTTCGACCGTGTACGATTCATTCTACAAAAATGTTCCAAAAATGACTTATTAAGTATTATATATTTAAATATAATATAATATAATTATATAATATATTATGTAATATAATTATATAAGTATTATGTAATATAATTATATAAGTATTATATATTTAAATATAATATAATATATTATGTAATATAATTATATAAGTATTATACATTTAAATGTTTCATAAAAATAATCCAGAAACGGGGATTCCTGAGATTATTTGAAGTAACTTTTTCCTCAGCGAAAATTCAATCCGCCGCTTCGCTTACGAGTTATTAACGAAAAACGGCGGCCAATGAGAGGCGAGATAGGCTGGCGCGAGGCGGCCCCTTCCAACGAGCGCACGTAGCTCAGTTCCGCTCATTGGCTCGGCCGTCTCGCGCCAGCTGATCCCGCCTTCTCATTGGTCACCGTTTTTCGCTAATAACTCGTAAACGAAACCGCGGATTGCATTCTCGCTAAGGAAAAAGTTACTTCAAACGACTCGAGGAACCTCTCATTTCTGGATTGCGAGACATTTTTGGGACACCCTGTAGATAGCTTTCTAGAAACCACTCGGTCGGTTTAACCGTAAGATGACTAAAGGTTTTACGGTCGGACGAAAGCCGAAGCCGGGTCAAGTTTCACCCGAAACGAAATTTCTTTATTCGTGTGTATCGAAGAATCAATTTTTTGATTTACATTTCAATTCATTAGGTTGTTTTTTGGTAAGTTTACTATATAAAAAACGATTATAGCGAATCGACGATAAGGAAGCAATTATTGGAAAGCATTTTATTAGCGAATTTATTGCAGATTCGGTCATTGGCAAGTAGACCGCGGATTTTTATTTAAAATAAAAATTGTTCACATCGATTGCAATTGATAGAAACCGAGAGTGGCGACTTCATATTCTTTTATAATCTTTTTAATACTTCATAATCTTTTTAATAGATCAAAAACAATACATTAACGTTTTAACACTAGAACTACCGAGCCCTAAACATAACTAATGTGTACTTTTTTATAACAACGACAGGACTGGATTTATTTAAACTTCCTTCGATTTTTATTATAACATTTTCTCGAACGAAGTAATATCCTGTAAAAAGTTTATAGTGTCAGAAATTATATTATAACAACGACAAGGCTGGATTTATTTAGATTCCCTTCAATTTTTATTATAAGATTTTCTCGAATGAAAAAATATCCTGTAAAAAGTTTATAGTATCAGGAATTGTATTATAACAACAACAAGACTGGATTTATTTAAATTCCCCACGATTTTTATTATAACATTTTCTCGAACGAAGTAATATCCTGTAAAAAGTTTACAGTATCAGGAATTGTATTATAACAATAACAAGACTGGATTATTGGATTATCATTTAATTATTTATTACTGGATTATTATTTAAATTTCCGAAATCAGTCGTTTCGACTGATTTGACAAATCCAGTGTCAAAATGCTTTCAATTCGTAGGCTATCCGAAGCTGCCCAATTTGCCCTAAACGCGTAAAATCCGTGTTCCACCGATAAGTCCCGCAGTCCCATAAATCATTTGGCTGAAAATAAAGGCAGCACGGTCGGGCTACGCTCGAGGGTATACTCCGACGGGAACATCGAGGCGAACAGAGAGCGAGAGAGAGCGAGAGGCGGCAAAGGGTTCTAGGGACTCCGTCCCGCCCAGTTCGCGGACTTCTAGATATTCCTCGAAGACTTTCGCCATTTTCTTGGCACCCGTTTGCTCACCTGCCGGCGGCGCTATCGTTCGCACATGCCGTGGCGATACGGCTCTGTCAACCTCTTTCTCCAAGGGCGGCGTAGAACGCCGATCGGCCGCGACAGGGCCGCCGCTGGTTCGGGATCTAAATTGGCCGGCTCTGCGTTGCATCTGGCAAGGAAAAAGGCAGCGACACGACCCGCTATCGCGTCGGAGATCCCGCCTCGACGGCCGAAAAAACCCCGAGGCAGAGTCCATTGACCAGATGGGGCTCTCCGCCGCTCCCCGGTTCCCAGTGACAAAACATCTCGCGCGTTTCATGCCGGGGTTCGAGAGCACCTCTCCAACACGTCCCCCGTGGGATTTAAACTTCTTTGCCGCGGCCATCGATTCGATATCGTCGGGCCCCCCTCCGGCCCCTCGGTGGGCCCTTCCGAGAAGAGCGGCGGCGTCGATCGCGGAACCCGTGGAACAGGTGGCGATCACAGCATCGAAACGTCTAGTTTCGTGGGCCGGAAACGGGCGCGGAACGATAACGCCGCGAAACTCGACCTGCTGGAATTATTGCTGGAGATCTCCGGGCACCGGAAAAGCTTATCGGGCCCCCGGGGGGGCTTTACGAGCCCAGTGGGAACATAAACACGAGGAATTAAAGACTAACACGACGAGTGAAGAGCGGAGCGCGCGCGAGCGAGCGAGCGAGCGGTTCCGAGTCGCGCGGCGCGGATGATGGAGGACCGCGACGACGCTCGACCTCGGCCGCATACCGCATCATCGAGCGAACGTGTTTGTGCGCCGCTGCGTCCTTAAGACTCCTCGTAGCCAGAAACACTAACCAGACCTCCCATTTCGACTCCTCGAGTGTATCGCGCGGATGATAGAAACGCTCTCGTTCTCCATGCCTCTTCTGATGCCGGATACGCGAACCGCCCGAGAGGATCGCGCGGCCGCGTGTGAACCTCCGCCGCGACGGGCTTCACGCAACGATGAAATCGTGGCGAACGCGACCTACAGGATCGTGAAAACGGAATTGATATGTGGCGCCGATCGCGCAGGTGGTACAGGGCGTCGATGTTGACCCTTTGTTTTACGACCGAGTTTGAGAGACCTGGTCGGATAATCGGGACAGAAATGATTATTACGTCTGTGAGACGTGGACGAGAAATTAGGACAGAAATTATTATCACGTCCGAGAGACGTGATCAGATATTCGGACAGAAATGATTATTACGTCTGTGAGACGTGGACGAGAAATTAGGACAGAAATTATTATCACGTCCGAGAGACGTGATCAGATATTCGGACAGAAATGATTATTACGTCTGTGAGACGTGGACGAAAAATTAGGACAGAAACTATTATAATGGCTGAGAGACGTAGTCAGAAAGTCGGGATATAAATGATTATCACGTCCGAGAGACGTGGCCAGATAATCGGGCCAGAAATTATTATCACGCATGAGAGATGTAGCCAAGAAATCGGAACATAAATAATTATTACGTCCGAGAGACGTGATAAAAGAATCGGGCCAGAAATGATTGTCACGTCTAAGAGACGTGGTCAGATAATCGGGCCAGAAATGATTATCACGTCTAAGAGACATGATAAGAAAATCGGGCCAGGAATGATTCTCTCAGACGTGGTCAGAAATGATTATCACGGCTGAGAGACGTGGTCAAAAAATGATTATCACGGCTGAGAGACGTGGTCAGATAATCAGGTCAGAATGATAATCACGCCCAAAAGATCTGATTAGATAATCGAGCCAGAAATGATTATCACGTTTCTCAGATGTGGTCAAAAATCGAGTCAGGAATGATTATCACGTCTGAGAAACGTGGTCAGAAAATCGGGCCAGAAATGAGAGCCGCGAAGCGTCAGTCGAGCCAAATATAAACGTAACTAGTTAGGCTTGTGTTAGACTAGGAATACGTGCTTTGTTTGTTTTCCATTTGTTTAATTGTTTTATTAATAGTTAAAGAAGATAGCGCAGGAACCAGCTGGACACGAGCTATGATTTTTGCGATCTTTAATTGTTTACAGCTCATAAGAAGATCAACCGATTTCGGTGAAATTTTTAACGTGCATATAACTTACTCAGATTTACTCAGATCTATTTTTAAAATTTTCATTTGTAGGCTCAGATAAGAAAGTTAGAAAAACAACAGCTTTTTTTTATTTCCTGTTATCGTTCTAAGCAATAGCAACCTTTGAAGAAAGTATTCCAGTTATGTGCTCTGGTCTAGTTATGCATTGGTCGCTCTGTCATCTGAAAGAAAGTTCAAAACGTTTAGTCCAGTTCTAAAAAAGTTATTTCGTTTTGAAAAGTGTCTCAATATCAATGGGAGTCACTGTTTTTTCATTCCGTAAGAAGTTCGCGATTGGCACAAGTTCAGACGTTTCGCGCAACCGTGAAAAAGTCTCGGCGCGTGACCGACCTTGTTTATTGTTTATAGTACACGTTATTGAAACCGAGATCGTAGGTCAAGAGGTTAAAGACAAGGTTATTAACACTAGATTTACGGAATCCGTGAAAATGACGGGTCACTAATTTTCTAATTTACGATCATTCATATCGTAAAGATACATACATTTACGAGTTATTTATCCAATTTATACATTACTTACGGAAAATGTTAAACACTTGTTACAAATCAGATTGTTACTTTCATAAACTAATATATAAAACAGCTCTTTTCTGTGTGCCCCGTAAATCAAGCGTTAAAGACAATTAAGACAGTTGAGACCCAAATTTTTCTCTAATTTTCTAATTTACGATTATATATACATTTACGAGTTATATTTATTCAATTTACACGTTACTTACAGCAAATGTTAAACACTTGTTACAAATCAGATTGTTACTTTCATAAACTAATATATAAAACAGCTCTTTTCTGTGTGCCCCGTAAATCAAGCGTTAAAGACAATTAAGACAGTTAGGAACCAAATTTTTCTCGACGTCTCGCCGCCGCCTTTCCAGCACTCCCGACCGCGTTAATCAAAATCGATGATCGATCGGCTTGCAGACAGCTCTCCGAAAGCGACAAGAAGCCGTTCATCGATGAGGCCGATCTCCTCCGCGTGATCCACAAACGCGAGCACCCGGACTACAAGTACCAGCCCCGCCGCCGGAAGCAGAACGGGCCGTCGGGAAGGGACGGGTCGCCCTCGAGGGGCCAGAGCAACGTCGCCTACAACGTGTCCAGGTCCCTGAAGCAGGAGGACATGAGTCCCAGGGGAGTCCAAGGCCCGAATTCTCCCCAGAACGGAGTCAGCTCATCCCCGCCGACCACCCCGAACCAAGGACTGTCTCCGCCAACCCCTCCCACCACCCCTCGAGGCCAACATTACATCAATCAGGTAAACGAGCTTGGATATTCGATGGAAAGTGACGCGATCTTCTGAACTCTAACCTCGAAGTGTAATTGGAAATAACGATGGTGGGCTTTGATGAACGATTTGTAGGCTTTGGGGTGAGAGAGAGAGAGAGAGAGAGAGAGAGAGAGAGAGAGAGAGAGGGAGATTTCGTTGTCTTTATTTCCACTAAGAAAATATAAATTTATGTTATGTCGACGCGCGGGGATGATCTTGACCTTATAGCATAATAAATATATAATAGAATATATAATAATAATTATATATTCTATTCTTATATATAATAATTATAATATAATAATAATATATAATAGAATATAAAATAACTGGATATAATATAACTTGGTATACTCGCGATCATTTATCTTTTTATTTGTCAATTCTTATTTTATTTATCAATACTTTTTATGATATTCCTTCTAAATACATTCGTTTTTTTTTCTGTGGGCTTTGTCGAAACATGTGAAAATTGTAATCAGTTGTCTGAAACTTGACATTCGGATATCAATTTTTCCAGTCTGGAGTTTGTAACAGAAAGATTGCGAGATCCTTTGCCTGTATCATTTTTTCTTCACAGTTACAAGAAGTTCTTCGGGTGTAATAATTTCTAAGAAGAAAAATGACAATTTACATTTACCGCGTGTCTATATTTACTTGAATGTTCAAATATTGATGACGAGAAGTCGGAATTTTATTCACGCTAAAAAGAACGGAATAGCATTCATATTTATATAAATAATTATATAATACTTATATAAATAATATATTATATATATATTATTATTATTATATAATATAATACTTATATAAATAATAAATTATTATATATATTATTATTATTATTATATTATATAATACTTATATAAATAAATAAATATAAATATAGAATACTTATTTGTATATATATAAATACGTAAGTATTATTTAAATAAGTAAATTAGTAAGTATTATTGAATATAAAATAAGTATTATTTGATATAAAATAATATAAGTATTATTTAAATATATATATATACTTACATAAATCTCCATCACGCGTCAGGCTCGCGAAAGTATGCCAAAGGGGTTAACTGAAAAAGAAATTGAAACTGGAATTGCCTCGAAGCAAACGTTCGATTGATCTGCGCAGGGCAATCAGCCGCAGCAGAACAACATGTACCATCAGGATCTCGTGATCAGCTCGACGAGCGAGTCCCCGCATCAGCAGCAATCCACGAACGTGGATTATCGGTACATCGAGGTTGCCGATAACGAGTTAAACGGGCTCGGCTCGTTAGGGGGTGTCGGGTTGAACCTACCCCTGAACCTTCAGGAGTGCGAGGTCGAGAGCAACGAGCTGGACCAGTACCTGCGGCCGCAGGTGCCTCCGGTGCATCTACCCCCGCCGACTACCACCCCGTCGCCGTGGGCGTTCAATAGGTAAGCGGATCCGGGAAGGGGTGAAACAGGTTCCCCTTTCGGTGCCCGAAGTTTCGCCGTTGGTTCGCTTCTTCGTCGTCCGCCACGCCTAATGACCTCGACAAAATTTAATAAAGTACTTAATAATAAAGTATATATTTCGTCCGATCGAATTAACCCTCGCATATACGTCCAAAAGCCTCGTTTCACTATCGGTGATTCATTTATTTTCTGATCGTAAATTCTTCCTAATTGACTCGCTCGGATTGCGCATAAAAAATGGAAAATTTGTGTGGCTTTGCGACTCGTTTTTATAGTCGCTGACAATCGGTAATCTTTTGTTCCCAAATTGTTCATTTTTGTGTACAATCTGAGCGTCGGTTGCTAATAAAATTTACTGAATACTGTAAATTTACTAATGAATAATTTTAATGATAATGATAATGGTATTTTTTAATAATGATAATGATAATGATATTTTTCAATAATGATAGTGATAATAATATTTCTTAATAATAATAGTGATAATGATAACAATAATAATACAAAATAATAATAAACCATTGGTAATATTGTCATAACGGAACGTGTTACGCAATAAGAAATTCCTTATTTCGTCTATTTACAAGTAACTTAGTATATTTCCTTACGCGTGATACACAAAGGTCCCCGCAGACCCGGTCACCGGCATGCAAGGGTCGACATCGAAATGTTCCGTTGCATTGCTTATTCGACGGCAATAAAACAGACCGCGGAGTTTACGAATTTATAACAAAACTGACCAGATCAAATGTACAGCGTCGCAAAGGAATTAGGAAAATTCCAGAACAACGTTAAATTATTTTCAACCTATCACAATTATCAAAAGAGTAAACACATCCCCGTCCAACATACGATTCTCGCGATTAACTGAAACGATTTTTATCGCGCGCAAAGATCCGCTGGTCCGATGACAAATTATCGTAAAAAAAAACGATCGAATCGTTTACAAAAATCGGGTGAAAATAGTCTTTTTTAATTTACGTTTCGTGGCGTTAAACGACGAAACTTGTTCGATGGACTCGGAATTGGCCGCGGCGACATTTCCGACCGAACGTCGGTAGCCAAGGTTCTCTTGTTCTCGTTGCAGATACGAGGACGAGGTCGAGAGGCCGACCAAGCGGCACTGCTCGGAGCAGAGCATCGCGGAGACGTCCTGGGAGGACAGATCCCAGGAGATCGTGAGGTACCACGAGCTGCAACCGCCCCTGCCCCCGATGCAGTACATCTGCTCGAGCCACAACGCGCATTACTCGCACGCGGCCGGCCAGATGAACCACCCGCACGTGTCGACGTCGTACGCGCAGTACCAACGCTACGTACCTGGCATCGAGACCTGGCCGCACTACATGTAGAAGAGGTGACGAATGTTCGCGCGTGGCAAAACCGCGGGGACGCGTTGAGAAATCCGCGGTCGGAGGAGGACTCTCTCTCGCTGCCGTTCGGATGATCGGGGACGGGAGCGATTTGGTTAATCACAATTAATCACCTAGATTAGCGTCTTCTCTTTCGAGTCGTTCGGACGACGATCGTTTTTCTCGACCACGTCGTCGACACAATAGCCAAATATGCGAGACACAGTTTTTCTAACACGTTAGGGAGTTTTTACGTTTAAGAAACCGGAGATCGGAGGAGCCTTGGCAAGGCGTCGTCGATCCGAACGCGCGAGCGTGAACGCTTGGAGAGCCTCGGGTGCTCGGCTCGCTCTCTCGCGCGAGATTATACGACGTTCGTGTTTCTTTTCTTTTTTTTTTCTTTCATTTTTATCGTCCCCCGTTGGCCGGGGGCATGATCGAAAAGAGCGCGCGCGAGTCGAGGCCCCGAGGCACGGAGCCGGGAAGCTCGCGTGTAAACGGCACGCCGGAGGCACGATCTTGCTCCATGACATCATTCCATGACAGCCGGCCATTCCAAAGCGCAGAATTTCAGGCTAAACAAACAGACCGCTCGATACGGTGCCCTCGCGCCGCGATCCAAATATAATAAATATATAACGCACGGACTATAAACCGGCGTGGCGGCTCGCGGAGCGCCGCGCGCACCAAAGTGTATGGCACGTTCTTCAAATAAACCTGCGGAACGCGATCGTGGACGGATCGCGAAACGTGGATCTACGGGCAGAGACCAATGGGATATCGACCCTCGAGAAAGAGAGATGATTCGACGAACGCGATGTACTACGATCAGGATTTAGGGGATGGTAAACGGTAAACCTAACGAGCTGCTCGAAGTGGCAGGCTTTCATGGAGCTTGTGAAGTTGCTGAAAGTAAATTTTTCGTGATTGACGAACGGAATTTGGACACGAAAATCGACGATTTGCGATGGGGAGATGCGATTGTTCGAGCCTTGCGGATCGTTTTTATGGTTATCGATTGTCAAGAAGTATAAAAAAGGGGCTACAAGATAGGATAATCGTCTCTTCTTCTTCACAAATTGTTGATTCTTATGCGTAGATTGAGGGATAATTGGAGCAAATTTACTGTACATGGTTGCAAAGAAAAATCTGATTATTCGGTGGATTATTTTCTCGAATTATTTTTGTGAATTATTTTCGTGGATTATTTTCCTGGATTAGCGATTTAACGAACCAGAATTTCAACACGGTTCAAGACTGTTCAACAATTCAACACGGTTTAAGATAGTTGAACAATTCAAGATTGTTCAACATTTCTTTGCAATCGTGTACAATAAATTCACGACAATTGTCTCTCAATTTGTACACGAAAGTCGACAATTTTCATAGTTGTTGACAATCGGAGACTATAAAAAGGAACCGCGAGACTCGAATAATCGTACCTTCTGTTCCTAAATTGTCCACTTTTGTGTACCAGTTGAGGTACAATTGGAGAGAATTTACTGCAAAGAAATGCAAAGAAATCTCTAATTAATCGTTGGATTACTTTCTCAGATTATTTTCGTGGATTATTCTCTTGGATTACCGATTTAACGAACTAGAATTTCAGCATGGTTAAAAACTGTTCAGCAATTCAAGATTGTTCAACATTTCTTTGCAAAATCGTTGGCTTATTTTCTCAGATCATTTTCGTGGGTTCTTCTCTTGGATTAGCGATTTAACGAACTAGAATTTCAATACTGTTCAAAACTGTTCAACAGTTCAACAATTCAAAATTGTTCAACATTTCTTTGCAAAATCGTTGGCTTATTTTCTCAGATCATTTTCGTGGGTTCTTCTCTTGGATTAGCGATTTAACGAACTAGAATTTCAATACTGTTCAAAACTGTTCAACAGTTCAACAATTCAAAATTGTTCAACATTTCTTTGCAAAATCGTTGGCTTATTTTCTCAGATCATTTTCGTGGATTATTCTCTTGGATTACCGATTTAATGAACTAGAATTTCAACACGGTTCAAAACTGTTCAGCAATTCAAGATTATTCAACTTTTCTTTGCAAAATCGTTGGATTATTTTCTCAGAACATTTTCATGGATTTTTCTCTTGGATTAGCGATTTAACAAACGAGAATTTCAATACTGTTCAAAACTGTTCAACAGTTCAACAATTCAAGATTGTTCAACATTTCTTTGCAAAATCGTTAGATTATTTTCTCAGATCACTTTCATGGATTCTTCTCTCGGATTACCAAATTAACGAACGAGAATTTCAACACATTCCAAAACTCTTCAACAGTTCAACAATTCAAGATTGTTCAACATTTCTTCGCAACCGTGTACAATAAATTCTCTCCAATTCTCCCTCAACATGTACACAAAAATCGACCTGTATGCAGCTTCTATCATAGAAAATGATCGAATAAATTTATCAATCCAAGCACACGTTACAACAAAACCGATGAAAGGACTAAATAAATATACGATCTTGTCACCCTTACAAAGCAGGGGCCGCCAAACTTCTGATCCGTGCGACCTGTTTCTTTTAAATTATAGTCGGCGGTCTATCAACGTCGTACGTGTTAAGTGATCGTAAGAAAAATGGTAATTCGAAGCCAAAAATAAGATTAAATTTAAGATAAACATAGATAATATCAGACAGGCGGCCGATTAGAAGTAATACGACCAGTGGTCTACGGTCGACGCTTTGGCCACTCCTGCCTTTCTATGTGTGTGTTATAAAGCAACACTCGTTAGCTACTTCTAGGACCGATGGGTTTATCGTTGAATAACCGTCCGCAAAGAATCGGTGTTCAAGTTGAAATTCGAGGGACCAAATAATATCTTCGGGAATCTTTAACACTTTACACTCGAATCATTTTTCTCACTTATAGCATTTTCATTTTATACGATACAATTATATATATATAATTGTATCGTATAATATAATTGTATATATATAATTGTATCGTATAATATAATTGTATATATATAATTGTATCGTATAAAATGAAAATGCTATAAGTGAGAAAAATGATTGTATATTTACAGTTGAAATATATATATATATTTTATACGATATATATATTTTCATTTTATACGATACAATTTATTTTATGCATATGAAATTGACTCTTGCGACTCGCACACAACAGTTACACTCTCAACAATTTCCTAAATCTAAACTTTTGTTAATATAAAAATGATCTTAAAACGCCAAAAAAAAGTTATTTTAAAACGAACAAATTTCACTAAAAATTATCTTAAAACGAACAAATTTTACTGGTGCCTCTGAGTCACCACTCGAGCGCAAAGGGTTAAACCTCTCGAAAATCGTCGCTGGTCTTTTCCGGATTAGATTCGAGCGGGACGAGATTTTGGCCCTTGTCGAGCGGTCGAACGGCGGTCAGCACATCGAAGCACATAGGTCAGTAATTCTCTCACAGATATTAACAATCTATTTCGTTACTACGCTGACAGCCGTGCTTTTTGTACTTAGAATATTTATTGTACCGCCTATACACAGAGCGCCGAGCGTAAAATATCGCCCCGCGAGACGACAAACGCTCTCTCGCGCGCGCGCGCCCCCTTCGAGGGCTAATTTATGTAAGTAATAATATAAGTATGGCGATGTATTCTTAATTTCTAGGAATAAAGAGAGCATTTTCAAACGAACACATCTGATTATTCTTCCTTATCCCGTCTTCTTGTTTGTTCCCACCGTGAAATTCGCGCGTTTCCGGTTGCATAATAAAACTTCGGGCCGAAGGGGCGAGGGGCGGGGAGGAAGGGGGGACGCGTTAAATATTTGAGCGATTCGCTGGCACGATGCGACGTAAAATAGGAGGACCCGCGCGAGTGGACTGTTCTAGGTTTCCAAGAGCAAACAGGCTTATCGAAATCCGTCCGACGAGGGACGTGGGAATACGTCGCGACTTTTATGCCACTTATCCGCGTCTCGAGATTAAAAAGCCGAAGAGAGAGAGAGGGAGAGAGGGAGAAAGAGAGAGAGAGAGAGAGAGAGAGAGAGCGAGATTGAGAGAGGGAGAGGGAGAGAGAGTGCGAGATCGAGAGAGGGAGAGAGAGAGAGAGTGCGAGATCGAGAGAGGGAGAGAGAGAGAGAGAGCGAGATCGAGAGAGGGAGAGATGGCGACCACGTGTGCCGACTGTTATTCTTAATCGCGCGTGCATTTTTCAACTCGCTCGCTCGCTCGCTCGCCCTCGCCAGAAATGCACCGGCGGCCGATCTTCGATAAACAATTTGGATAGTTTGCCGCGGGGCGGGACCGATCGATCGACGTGTAAACGCCGCGATCGGACGTCTCCGTGTTTACTTCGGGCTCGGACTCCGTTTCGATCTCGCGCGGAGAGAAGCGCGCGCGTACAAGCAGCCGCGGCGGCCGAGTGGCCGAGCCACGGAAATCACGCGAGCCAGTTTCGTACCGAAATAACACGGTGCCGTCATCGACGAGCCATATTTTCATCGTCGAACGACAGTGGATTTTTTCGCCGGCCGCCGCCAGCACGCGGGAAGAAACGGAAAAGGGTTTGTGACGAGAGACAGGCTTTCCGTCGCAACGGGCGACGTTGTATCGTCGCGCAGCTGTCTCGAGGCGTTTTTTATTCTCGGCCCGCGCGGCTCGTTGTCCGTCAAGATTTCGATAAAGCCTGTCGGCGCGGGGGAACGATCTCCGGAAACGGCCGAAATCGCGTCACCCTTTCGACGTCACCCTTAGCCGTGGCGCCTCTTTTTCAGAGCGCGCACCTATGTACAGTGACTGTAAGAAGTGCTTTGATATATGAGGAAACAATTGATTCAACGATACTGTCGTAAACAATGAGCAGTAATTTATCTAATAATATCGTGTTCGAATATTAATGCGAGTCAATGTATATGTGTCGTTGCTACGACGAGCATACTCGTCAAACATAGAGCAAGCGTCGCTGATAAAATATTGCGACGGAAAGACGGATTTATTTTATAATATCAACAATTTTACTGCTAATATTTACTTGTTCACTTCACGTTAATATATACTGTATACATAACAAGCGAAAAACGCAGGAGAAATCGGATATCTATCAAAGTTAACCCTTTGCACTCAAAGTCATTTTAACTCTGAATTGATTTTCTAACTCTCGGTACAATTTCCATTTTGTGCAATTTAAGCGCATTTTATATGAAATTGATTTTTACAACTCGTGCGACAGTTTTGAAGATATAAACAAATTTGGTAACGTTAGAATTATTTTGAAATGTTATACAACAATTTGAAGCGATAAGTCCGAGTCGCCAGTCGAGTGCGAAGGGTTAAACATTCGAACAATAAACCTATCGCAATAAGCACGTCGCTGCGTTAGAAACGGTGCAGCACAACTTCTTACACATAGTATAGTATAATATAATATGTATACATAGAATATTGTATGTATATAGTATAATAAAAACATAGAGAACATCTTATGGATATCATATTGGACCCAATCGTATTTTCTTTGTTGCAAGTAGTGTGCACAGGTGCACCGATCTTTTTCAATCATCCCCTACACTCTTCCAAATAGAATTTGAATTATCTATAGAATAATAAATAACTATAATACGAGTAATAGTAATATATAATAGAATAAATAGTAATAAAATAATAATATACATAATAATAGTAACATATAATAGAATAAATAGTAATACAATAATAATATACATAATAATAGTAATATATAATAAAATAAATAATAATAAAATAATAATATACATAATAATAGTAATATATAATAGAATAAATAGTAATAAAATAATAATATATATAATAATAGTAATATATAATAGAATAAATAGTAACAAAATAATAATATACATAATAATAGTAATATATAATAGAATAAACAGTAATAAAATAATAATATACATAATAATAGTAATATATAATAAAATAAATAGTAATAAAATAATAATATACATAATTAACTTGATTTATCGCATTAATTAAAGGAATTGCGGTTATCTTATGATTACACCTAACCTCGCGGTATTTTCGTTTCGTATTTTACTTTCTATTTCGTAACTTTACAACTAATGCGTAACGTCCCGTACACGTTCAATAAATAAAATCGACAAACGACCATACGAAATCGGGGAAACTCGGCGGCAAAGCCGCCGGCGAGCCCTTTCGACCCCGAAAACCACGAGTTCCGTGAAGCGGCACGCTCCCGGATAGACAATCGTTATCCCACAATAGATCCCATTGACTGGGAGGAGGCTCTATCTTTATCTGCCGGCGTGTCCCGACGCGCACCTTTTATCGGCAACTCCGATTTCCGAGATCCTTCCGCGAACCGACGTTCGAGAATCTTTCGTAATTCTCCCCCGTTGCCGGACCGGATACGGATTCACGGGGACAAAGAGGCATATTCAGTAATAAACAACGACGGGGCTCGCGACATAATTAATTCCCGGTCGCCGCTCGCGTCCGAGATTAATAATCTTGGAATCCATAAATAATCCGCGGAACGAACGATCCACGCGGAAGGAGGAAGCGATCGCGCGTGTGTCGCACCGATCGGGGACGGTGACACCTTTTTTTTCAGCTCGGAAATCGTTTCGGGAAAAACGTACGGAAATCGGGGCCGTGTGTTGTTCGTTCTCCTAGACTTCTGTGTGCCCTGTCAATATTTGGGCGTGCGCGGCGAGGGGGAAGGATGGGGGGGGCCCAGATAGGATCGATAAATTTCGACAGTTCGGGCATTCAGCGCATAGATGCCCCGGGCACAAAGAGTTGTAAACTCCCATACAGCTGTCCCGATTGTAATATTATCGGGCGGCGTTATACATATTTTCCTTGCTATCCATTCATCGGGAGATCTCGCCGCGAGCCACGTGGGCCCCGCGATGTATTGGGTTGGCAACTAAGTAATTGCCGATTTCAGTTATAGATGTCTGTCACTCCCATTTTTATGATATCCGTGAATGTTGTATTATAAAATTATTATTATTATTATTATGTTATTTTGTATTATCCGCGAATGTTAGCAACTGGACAAATTGAATGCAGCGGTCAAGGAAAAGCGACCAGAATTGGTCGATCGTAAAGGTGTCATTTTCCAGCAGGACAATGCTAGGCCGCGCACGTCTTTGTCCACTCGGCAAAAATCGATGGATATTGGTTGGGAATTGATGTTACACCCACCATATAGCCCTGATCTCGCGCCATCGGATTACCACTTATTTCGATCCCTGGACAAGTCCCTTCGTGGTAAAACTTTTAACGACGATGACGCTGTAAAATCTCACTTAACTCGGTTTTTGGCCGAAAAGGACCAGACTTTCTACGAGCGTGGAATTTTCAAGTTGTCAGAGAGATGGCAAAAGGTCATCGAACAAAATGGAAAATACATT